GATATACCGATTACTTATATCGAATTATGCCTTCAGAACTCGAAAAATTGCATCGGAGCTTCCGAGAATCGACTTTTACTTAGCGATTTTTTCAATATCTGCTAATTCGACTTCCTCCGATTTATCAGCTATGCGGTTAAAAAGAAAATTAACTGTATTCACTTCTATCCGCAACAATGGAAAATTACATTGTTTGTCAGACATTTGGCAGATGTATATGAATGTGAGGCAATTTTCTTCGCGGGTAGACGACCTTGCCTACAGGTTGGCGATTTTTTTCTTAGCGCGCTGCAAACGTATGGCATCTAATGATGTAATAAGATGAATGCCAGAGCGGGTCTAGGGTGAGATTACGCCCCGGGTTGATGTGCTTCGAATAAGTTGTCCATAACTTACACAATGTTATTATTGGCGCACTAAAACAAGGAAATCTTGCGTAACTTGTGTTTATGTACTTTGCGGTGATGTGTTTATTCCAAATTGCACCAGGAAATCGCACAAATGGAAGTAACTAAAACTTTGAAAGGTTGAATGTACGAAGTAACTTATAGCAATAAAGTTATTACCCGTATTTTCCTTTTAATAAATTTCGTTCGCGACGTTATATTTGATCAAAATTGTCTGATCCTATTAATACTTAAGTAAATTCCTGAAAGTCCATCTCTCGCTCGATAGGTTAAATTTCAACGAGAAAACTATTGCAAAAACCACGGACGATAGTAAGTACAAGGCCATTGCAGACACTTAATAAAGGAAATTAGATTAAAATATCTCTGTTGATCAATTGCTGGTTGTATTTGACGACGTACGGCGCATATTAAGTAGACTATTATTGGCATTACCGTCTACTTATACGTAACTTTCTATGAAGAGGATACTAAATCATGCAATTTTGTGCAATAAAAATAAATGAAAAAACGGAAAATTGTGTATAAGAATAATCTATTGTGAAAGAGATATATGTTTGCCTTAGAGGTAATTTTCGTTTTTGTTACGGTCACTGAAAGTAAATTATAAACAGGTAATCAAAGCGGGTATTTGCATATAAAAATTTCAACAAATTAATTGATAAAATCAATTTGAAATTCATTCTCAGATACAACATAAAGTTGAACCTTTCGGACCTTAAAGACACACTTTAAAACAACTCAACCTATTTATCCAAGTAAGTACCCAATAATATCGAAAATAATATTATATTATAATAATAACAATAATAATAAAGGATTCTGTTTAAATCGTGAATTCGTGTGGCTATGAAAGTGTAAAATTACCCACAACAATTCTTGTACATGGTCAAGAACATCGGTGGCTCGTGAAACTTGCCATTCGAACAATTTATCACTTTAATACTTTCTTCATACAAAACTCAACAAAACGTTATTAAAGAAACTATTGAAACCCAACAAACTAAGTACCTATTCATACATTTTGGAGTAGCCTAAGTCATAAATATTTAGGTTCAAAAACCCAACTTTCATAAAATATCTAACAACAAATTTTATGTCGACCATCAATTACAGCTAGGTCATCATGATCACTCAATTCTTCGATAGAACCAACGAATTGATGGGTTAAAATACACGATCGTATTACTTCCCTACTTTACGTGTTAAAAATTCATCGATTTTTCAGCTTCCCAGACGTGTAACTAACACCGAAATTAAAACAATTATGTAGTTATCCACGTTTTCCTAATTTTTTGAGTCAATCACGACACAAATTTCGCATCGAAATCGACAATTCGATTACGAATCGAAACTAGATCTCGCAATTAACATGAATCCGGAAATATCATCTTCGCGGACAACACAAAGTAGTAACAACTGAATTATAGTTCTCGAGCAGTCTCCATTTTTAGAAACCCTCATTACATTTCCCCGGTACCGAAACAACTTCCTGGTGAGTACCAGCAAAGCGGTTGCGTTCTTGGTGCCGGTACCCACGGTCTTCGGTTCGCTGTCGACCGACAGGGACATCCCAAACGGCGTCATCTCTTGCGAATCGATGGAAAAACTCGATTCAGGGCTCATTGTTTTGTCAGAGATTGCTCATATTGTGAATATTCAAATGTTGGTCTGTTTACAAGGTAAATTCAAGACGTTAGATGGGTTTGCTGGAATTTGCACGTACGAAAGAGAAACTAAGAGTGTAAATTTTGAAGAACTAGCTTCTTCTCTTGTAATAAGAAAGATAAAATTTGTATCTTTTATATAAATATTTGCTGGATCATAAAATCTTCTGTTATACCTGCCGGTATGTTTGTGTAAAGTAAAGTTGGACCTTACTCAAACATTTTACTTATAGGCGTATAAATAAAATGTTTAATTACGAGTTTAATTTACTAATTAAGATTCTTGGTGTCTGTGTAAACATAGCAATTGTTCGATTTTTCGTAGTGCCGTGGCTAAGTCTGACCATATGGTTACTAAGTTTAACTAGATGGTACTCGAGAAGAACGATACACTTCCTGTTCCTCTGGTTGTTGAAATTTGCATAAAGAAAGACCAACAGCAGCCATGAACGGTTGTCGGCGTGATTACTGAAAAAAGCCCGTCCCCAGTTTCTTGTTGATTACGGAATAAGAATAGTTTTATATCTAGGTAATCGATTTTAAAGTTTTTCAGCTCGTTTATTAATCTTTTCGCATTGTTTAACACATCATAACTATGTACTAATTTAATTAACGAACGATTTATTATTACCCGTTCTTTGAAGAAAATTCATTTGCATATAAATTATTAAACGATTAGAATAATAATTCATTATATTCACTGATTGTCTTTTCATTCTGCGTTAATTAAGCGAGATACGAAATTCGTTATAATAAATAAAGAAACTGGTAAATTGCTAAAAAGAACGTACAAGTATCTTCGTAATCTATCTACGCGTACGCGGGGTTTTTTTCCACCTTTTTTTGCCGGCCCTTTCGTCTACATGCAACCGATGCAGTTCCTATTCGTACGTTATTTCTATTTACAGCCATGATTAATGTTTATTAACAAATACTAATTATTTGATTTTGAATCCCATTGCCACCATCTAGTTAAGCAACCGGCTCTATCTCGGTCTTGCCCATCTTATAAAACACACAGTAGCGGAGAATTAGGTGGGTCTATTGGGTCTTGTTTGTAAACAAAAAAGGGACATTTAAAATATATCAAAGGCAATAAGAAGCGGATTTACAAAATATTTTTCTTAGTACGCAAAGATTTTTCATCACTTTTCTTGTAAGTATTGATTGTTAGGTAAACATTTTTATTTGGTATAGCGTTCCAACGATAATTAGAAGAGTGTTAATTCTCTACCACTGGCAGTAAGTCAGGGGCATTGTTAATAAATCATAAGTATTTTTCCTTAAAATAATTATAACGCGAGCACGATGTATAGAAAAGTAACTAGACTTGATTAATTGTAACAAGCAAATGTGACGTGTGAACGCTAACTATGACTCTTCACCGGAGGAGTTCATTTTATGTTTGCTTGTCGACCACAACAACTTTTCCTTTTTCCTTTCTTTTTTATATTTCCGAGCGGTTTTTCTATCTGGACGTTCGCTGTGCGTTGTTGGTAATACGTCCGAGGGTATATGGTGTGTAATACATCATCCGCATCTTAGGGAAGTAGATGTAGCGTATGAGATGTAAATGAGCCCATTTAGAATTGAAACGGGACGGAATTTTAAAAATGTCCGACTACCTATGCTTCTTAGAAGGAGTTTTAATTGAATGTGCACTGTAATCGGTAATTATAGGTACATGTATTACCGTTATTTAATGCAAAAAATCTTGTGGTATGTTGTGGATGATGAAGGTTCGTGGTATGGTGGATTCTTGTTTTTACTTTTCAATATTACCACTTTCCTTATACCTCAAAAACTTTTGACTGTCTTTATTCCAGTAGGTATTTCCATGTTCTTTCCTGAATCAATATTTCTTTCAGTTATTAATACCTCTTGAGTGCATTACTCCTCCCTCAAACATCTAACATACTTTGTTCTTAGCGATCGATCACTAGTAGTTTTTTTCTTATTTTTGAATATCTCGGGGCGCCAAAGTCTGCGATTTGTTATTATTTCGACTACCCCTAATAGAAAATAATGCTTGAATTGGTTGTAAGTGAGAAAACGTGATCTACTGTCAACACGCAAGCCACCGAAAGCTAACAGGTACAATTTTCACTTTCATACATTATGTATAAGTCTGCGAGCAATGGTAAAATTCCAAAAATTATGTAAACTGTAGGTATTACATGTCCGGTGGCAAAATTCGGTACGTAATGCTTTCAGTAAGACGATATTACCGGCGTCGGATGTTAGTTATTCCTTCGACGAAAAAAAATATAGCTCTATTCTGTAATTACAAAAATCGTCACGTTTTCTAGCGCTGCTCGGTAAAAGTTATGGATCAAAATTATAGAAATCTGTCATAAAACCAGACAAGATCTAACAGACTACAACGAAATCAACTGTATACTTTGTAGGAAATTTTTGACATGAATTAGTTTCGATTTGGATTGATTTTTATAATTATCTACATTTTACAGAAACATATTATTTCTGTGAATTTTAAACATTCAATTAAATGTGTTTTTTTCACTGTCTTGAACTTTAGTGACCTATAATCAAATCCGGCTATTATTTGAATATGTTAGATACACTTTCTTACCTACCCGATGATGATTCTCATAAATACTTGAAATAGTAAAAAAGTAAAGTTCCTTTATTACTAATATGTAAAACTGAAACCTCTGCTTCTGTATTATAATGGCTGTATGAGGCTATGTTTAGAGTAATTGCTACTAAATATTTCTACCATAATCCTTTATCTCTATACATAAGTAAAAACATTACCTAATTACCTACTTCATGTAGGGAGTATATCACTATTTTATATTTAATATCGATTAAACTCTGCCCTCTTCCAAATATTATTTATTGAAATTTACATTATCTTCACAGATTAAATAGTTTTATATATACTGGTATTCGTTTGAATAATATTCAATACTTAAAGTATATCACTTCAAAATGAAGTATCTACTTATATTTTTAATTGGTGCAATTGGTAAGTAAAAAACTCTTGATATGTGTATGTATCTCTTAATGTCTTAAGAGACTGGATTATTAATTTCATAGCATCTATATAATTATAGATCATTTCATGTTTTTCAGGCTTTAAGAATGGTATAACTTTAAAAGTTACTGGTCTTGAATTTAAAGATAGGGTACCGGAAGGTGCTGACGTCGAATTAAATTGCATTTATAATCTGGAAACTGATACTCTATATAAAGTAACTTGGTACAAGGGGCAACAGGAATTTTTAAGATACACAGAACATGAGACACCAAATATTTCACAATTTCCACTTTTTAAAAAAACTAAAGTAAGACAATTTTCTTAGACTTTCTTCTCAGGCATCTACAAAACTAAGAAATTTTATACTTACCTTAAATTATTTATTTTTATAGGTAGTAAGCAATTCACCTCAGAAAGTAACACTTAAAAATGTTACGACGGAGGTAACAGGAAATTACACATGTCAAGTAGATACTGAGGGACCAACATTGAGGTCTGAAAGGGTGACTAAAACTTTACTCGTTGTAACAGGTAAACTTTTGTAATATGTAGTATATTTCGAGCTTTATTCATATCTTATTGGTAAAATAATATTAATATTATATAATAACTGCTTTGACTTGAAGAAAAAAGAATGTAAAAATTTACCAGCATTCGATTAAACGTATTTTCTGTTTTGAGCTCCAGGTGGCAATGAAGTTAAGAATAAAGATTCTGTTAATAATCCAAGCGGTCGTAATGTTGGTAAGAATTTAAAATAATTTCTTCCTATTTAAATCAAACGTTACACTGAATTATTACAGATACTCAGATAAAATTGGTTGTGCCACCTATAGTTAATAAATCTGATACGATAAAAATTTCTTGTTCCTACGATCCGGCACATCCTAATAAAAAATCTCATCAGTCTGTTGTACTTTATAGAAACAACGAAGAATTTTACAAATTTGAAGCCAATAAGGGTTTTGATTTAACACTTCACTCGATGCCTGGTGTAACGGCTTCAGTGGTAAGTTGAAGTAATGATGTATTAATTTTGTGCATACTATACTAAAATTATTGTAGCATCAAACTGATAATATTACAGAAGTAACTTTGCGAAATGCAACTGCAAAAACTGAGGGAGAATATTCATGTGGGCTCTCCTCAAACACCATATCAAAACCTAAATACCTGTTAGTTAGAGGTGATATTCCATCATTTAGTTCAACTTGAACCTAGGAATAAATATGGTTGTTTTTATAGAACAATCATCTTTACCAGTGCAGATTTCCATGCCAAAAATTATTAGAAAAGACCAAACCGTACAACTTAAATGTTCGTTCAATTTTAATCAAAATGATTTGAAAAGCGTAACTTGGTTCAAAGGAAACAGGAAAATTTACGAATATCATCCCAATGAGAAAAGTCAAATAACCCAAATTGATGGAATCGGACACATAGTGGATATCACCAGTGAGGTAACTCAGGGTAAATGTGTATTTATAAGGGTTATAATATCAGTGTTTTTAAGGAATACAAAGGATTCTTATCGGCGATTCAAATAAAAAATGTCACTTCAAATACATCTGGTAGATACATATGCGAGGTTAAAACCGAGAATCGGCAAACTTACAGAGATTCCTCATCTATGTCGTTACTCCGTAAGTTTTGTATAACCTGAAAACTATCTTAACAGTATTTTTAATATGCATTTTCTATATAGATTTGCCAAATGGAGAACCCACCATGTTCATAGAAAGCGATTATCTGAGAAATGGCGATTTTATAAAAGCTGAATGTGCTTCAGGTCCATCCTATCCCTTAGCGACAATCACTTGGTATATCGACGGTGTTAAGGTAAGTTAATACACATCAATGACAAAAACTTATCCGGAATATCTGATTTAAATTACCTCCACTTTATATTCTACTCGCCAGATATAGGCTAGTGCGACATTTTTTTGTATTCCATTTTGACTCCATAAATACCATGAAAGAAAATTCGCAGAATGAGTTAAAAGCCATACCAAAAGGGGGTCTATTAAATATATTTCGATGATTGGAAAAGGCGTTAGACTATGTGTATCGCTTCAAAAGGAACATATATTTTGAAGAAGAATCAAGAAAAATTAAAAAGATTAGGAATTCTGTTTTAATACAATTTTCCGGGTACATTTTTGTCACTGTGTGTATTTAAAATTCAAACTTTTAATTGTATGTACAGCAGTTTCTGCGAAAGGGATGCATTTTCTTTTACATTGTGCACAATAACTAAGCGAATCTTGTTTGTTTAATTTAATTTTGTTTTGTTATTTAGGCTCATAGTTCTCAAATGTCAACCAGCCGAGGTAACATTAACTTTCCTTATCCCGCGACGTCCACTATACATGAGAGGGTACATTTCAAAGAAGGAGTAAATAGTGTTAGAGTCTCTTGCGAAGTGGCAATCGGCCACTGGTATAAAAAAGAAAAAACTGCAACTATAGAAAGGAATCATCAAGAAGTTGATCCAAGTGATACTTATACAAATCCTTATGAGTATCCCATAAATAATGCATACTATGCAGGTAAATTACGTACATGTATACGATTATTAAAGAAATTACACATTTTTCAAATTTTAAAATAATGTGGACACTTTTAATTTCAGGAGCAGAAAATAACGGGGCTAAAGTATCATTCTTTGCGATAACAGTTGGATTGTTATCTCTTATTGCGATGGTTTAGTTATCATTTGTATTTCGCTAATATTTGAAAATAAAGTTTAAATCTTATTAAAAACTTTATTAGTGTTAATCATTTCAATGAATAATTCCCTATATTACACGAATACTGATTTAAACATTTATCAGTGCATATATTTACTGAACTAGAACTTGCAATCACTTTCAATGTGTCCAAAGTAATTAAAAATATCAAAAGTAACAATTATATTAAAATATTCCACGATTGTCATGTCTTACGTCTGATTTGGTAAAAAGATAAATTACTATTTTATTTATAAATATTAGTGGCACTTACTGGCTCTGTATAATGGTCGTATGACGCTGTTTAGACTAATACATGTTAACAATTTCAGACATAATTTTTTATCTAATATTTATAAAATATAAGCACAAACATAGGGAAAAATTTAAAAAACGTGTTTTTTTTTAAATATTGATAAAACGTAAATGTGCATACAATTATTCTAAAAATTAATGCAAGCATACTTTCTCAACTGTAATTATTTTAAAATTAACATAAAACATACGCGCAATACTATCACAGTGATATACCTACTCGAATATAATGTCGAGAATTATTTCATACTTAAATAAGGTATAAATATAACATGATAAATATATGCATTTAAAGGCCCATTCATCTAAAAACGTGCTTTTAAAAATGTATTCTAAGTGTTATTACTTTATCGTATTTGCTTTATTGTTGCATACATGTTCATCTAATTGTCAGAATGAATTTAATGTAAAAGGTAAGGTACCTTACTATTTAATTATTTACTTACTTAACTGATTGCTTTATTTTATACTATATTAGTTTGTAAGACTAAGAAAATCAGTAAAACCATTAACCATTTTAGATTGCTTGTTGCCTCATACAGAACCAGGAGTCGCCTGCAAAGCCTATATTATTAGATATCACTGGAATCAGACTATGGGGAAATGTGAAAAAGTGACCTATGGAGGCTGTAGGGCTACAAGAAACAATTTTTTCACTATGGAAGATTGTCAGAAGATAGCTCAACCATTGTGCCAGAATAAAACAGAAACGAGTTCTGCAGGAGGCGTCGAATAAAAAAATCAAAGTATACAAATATAAGGAATGTATAATTATTTTCATAAGTTTTAAAATTGTACTAGAATAGAAATTGTATTCATAAATACATACATTCAATGATTTTCAATACATTTACAAAAATAAACCAGTAAACAAAAATTAACAATCATAAGCTAGCTCTATTTAAACATTATTTTTCCGTTTTTTCCTTATAACTTATTACTCCTTTCGCAATTAAATCTGGAATCTCTACAGCTAACCATGGGCCCAGCTAAAAAACAATAGCATTTAATTTTTCAATCAAACATAATATACAAATTTGATCAGTGAAATTTAAAGATACCAAAATACAGGGTGTTAATTAATTGAGTGCCGAATCCTCAGGATGTAAATATACGGTTGATTTTAAGAAGAAAAGTTTATATCAATACATGTCCTAAACCTCTTAGTTATCGAGCTACAGAAAAAAAATAGTTTTAGAAAAAAAATAACTTTTCTATCATAATTTTCTTTAGATTACTACAGATATTTTTATGAAATTTCGGACGTGGGTGTCACTGGTAATAGTAGAAAATTAATTTTTATCCCTAAAAAAAGTGTTTCCATGCATTGGGAACTTGGAAAAAAATGTTTTGATTTTTATACTTTTACGCGAAAATGGTGCGTCGTAAGAAAGTAAGTCTTCAGACTGAATTCGTTCCAAAATAAATAAGAATTTTAAAAATTTTGGTTTTTAGAAAAGACAGTGGCCTACCATTTTTTCTTCAGACATATTCAGTTCAAACCCCGTACGGACGTAGCTGGTAAAATTAAAAAAAATCATTTAGCTTAAAAAATGCTCCTTAATAATTAAAAAGTGTACAAAATTCCATAAAAAGTAATAAGAAAATTATGATAGAAAAGTTACTATTTCTAAAACTGTAGGTGTAACACCCTGTAGCTCGAAAACTAATAGGTTTAGGACATGTATTGATAGAAACTATTCTTCTTAAAATCATCCAAATATTCAAATCTGAAGTATCGGCACTCAATTAATTAACACCCTGTAAACAATATACAAATCTGATCAGTGAAATTTAAAGAGAACAAAATAAAAAAGGTAAGGAATAAGGTCTTTTTTAAATGGCTATTCATTGCATACTCATATATGAGTAATGTAGAGAATACATTCTTTAAATTAATCCATTATAGCTCTCATTAAACTTCACCATTCATATTTAAACAATCTGCCTCGTTTTAGTACAGTAGGGAAATATTACCCCTAAAGCCATTGCATGGCCAATTCCAAATTTGGGCACGTTCCGAGCCCACAAAGGTTTAAAATGATCGCTCAAACAAATCTTGCCACCTCTATACATTTTGGCTGTTTTTCCGTCTAATTCAGGTAAAGCAATTTCTGGAGCTGTTGTAGGATACGTTATAGGAATCTACAATATAACATCCATTTAATAGCTTGAAATGTCATAAAATAATAGGGCTTACATCGAATTCGACATCAAATTCATATTTAAGCAGTTCGTGTATGAACCAGCATTTTCCAAACCATTTTGTACCTTCTTTATTAGATTCCAATCGAAACCAATCGTTGTCAGCGTCTTTATTATTTTGGACGTACTGAAAACGGTAACATATGTTGGTAAACAATCACTTCTATTTACATCACTTTACCTTAATTAATGATTGGTATTCCTCTTTTAATCTTTGCACCCATAATTCCTTTTCTCTTGGGCCAGCTTTAGTTCGTAGCAATGGAATATTACTTAGCGTTTTTTTCGTACTTTCATCAACCATTGTTCGAATTTTATTTCTAATAAATTTTATACAAAAAGTGAGGTTAAGGTTGAAAGTCAATGTCAAAGTCAAAATTGACAAGAATGAAAGGTGACATTTGAAGGAATTATGTTCGTTACGTAGCCCACTCGTTGAGTTACGTTTTTTTGTTTAATTAATTTATGCACAAGAATTCGTTTTATAAGCGAAAGACCTAAGCGTGTTAATTTTATTATGGAATAATTGGTTCAATGTATTATTTCATTTCGTTTTAGAAGTTGTTGGTAGTTATAATATTCATTTTTGTGAAAAGGCGCATAAACATTTTAAACAAACCAAACACTAGTTTATGTTGGCAAAACTGTCAGTAAATTGTTTGTCTTTTCTTTATGTTATGATAGTTGTCATTTAAAAACTAAATGGAAATTGTTAATTTAGTACAAATTTAAACAAAGCTGATGAAAAAGTTAGTTATTTTAACGGAACATTATTTTAGCATTTTCTTGAATTGACCTAACGACAAATTTGATTTATGTTATGACGCCATTTTTATTTTAAAATGTCAAATTTGTTCAAGGTTTGCATGTCAATTATTTATTTTATAAGTAAACAATATTTATTATAAGAAAATTTAATTGTTTCAAACGTTTCCATTCTACAGTATGTTAAAAATAAAACGAAACGATATTTTCAGATTAATGCGTTATTAAATGTTTTTAGGTCAAGTGCTTGTGACTTGTGACCAATATGGGCAATACTTGTAATATGGTTTACCCAAAGGTCAGAATATGAAGAGGAAGCTAAATAATATTAGGATCATGCAAGGATCCAGAAAGCTACCTATTACTGATCTAAATCCCTACATTACTTGCAAATTATGTGATGGTTATTTTGTTGATGCTAGTACTATTATAGAATGTTTGCATACATGTGAGTATTTGCACCTTTGTAATTCAATACTTTCAAGATCGTATCTTAGTTATCTTACTACTTTTGCATTCTAGTTTGTCGCAGCTGCATTATAAAGTATTTACAAAAAAATAAATATTGTCCAGTATGTGATGTACAAGTTCATAAATCGAAGCCTCTACTCAATATTCGACCAGACAAAACTCTACAAGACATTGTTTATAAACTTGTACCAAGATTATTTCAAAGTAAGTTTTTAGAGCACTAATTATTGAATATGAAAAAATTATTCAAATTATCTCTTAGATGAAATGCAAAGGAGGAGAAAATTTTACGAAAATCATCCTGATGCAAAACCATCTAATTTGGAACAATGTGGTGAAGTGGCTTATCAATATATTTTGGCACCTGAAGAAAGTATTTGCCTTACTCTAAATTATTATGGCGCCAATAATAAACCAAGGTTTGTTGGGTAAATTTGTCTTAAAATATAGTTTATATAAATACATATTTTTAGGTATTTGAGGTGTCCTGCTGCTGTTAGTATGGGTCATTTGAAGAAACTTATTCGTGCAAAATATGACCTATCTGATCAACATAGAATCGATATTCTTTACAATCAGGATTGCCTTAATTCTTCTTTAACTTTAATTGATATAGCTTATATTTATCTATGGAAAAGGGTAAATAAACATTACACGTTTTAATAATAACTATAACATAGCTAATTTTATATAATTTTTAGAAAGGGCCAATTGAGCTATCATACAAAATTTACGAAAATACCACGAAAAAACTGAAACTCGAGTCCCTAGACGGACTAGAAGTTAACGGGATTAACAACAACATTGGTAACGACAATGATAATAATAACTGGAAAGAAGTACAGTTGAGGATAAGCGAAAATGGTGAAATGTCAATAACAGGTATCCAGGAATCCATGGTTTCAGGCTTGTTGGAAGTTGTAAATAGTGAACCAAAGTACAAAAATGAAGTAACAACAGGTAAGCTGATTCAAATTCGACTAAAAACTTGTTATAAATCATTCTTTCCTCTACCACAGCCAATACATCAACTACAACTACATCAGATCCTCTCTCAACCGCTAGTTTAAACAGTACGCAAAGATCTGTAAACTCGATACAATCTAGTGCATGCACGTTTACTATGCCAATGATTAGCGATCATTTAACCTCTTCCTCGAACAGTTGTGCTACATTGTCTTCTGGGTGTACAACAACTGTCTTCAGCACTATCAATGCTACGAAATGTAGCACAAAGACGGATGAAAGTTCGATTAATGTGGAGAAAATTGAAATTAAAAACGACGATAAAGGGTTCAAAAGAAAAGCGGAATGTAACAATACTATTGCGGGACCTCCTGTAAAGCAATCGAAGTCTGGAGTTCTAATTCATAGTAATATAAGTTTACTTAATTTATCCAATAATCACCCTTTAAAAAAGTATTCGAAAATCAATCGAAACGGAGAAAACGTAAAGGAAATATCTACTACAAAAGCCTCGTTAGATTCCGTTACAAAATCCGTCGAAACTAATTCGAATTCAATCAACGCTGATGAATTGAAGCAGAATGTATCTGAAAAAGCTGAAACTAAAAAGAATTGTGAAACAATAACAGTAACCTCATCTTCAACACCGGCATCTCATAGTTTACAACTAAAGACTATGGTTAGTGAAGCAGGATTACAATCCACTTGTTATCAACCAAAAACCGCATGTTCGATCGTGGTCTCCAACTCGATATCTACACCTAACATGTAAGTAAAATTACAAAACTAGAATCTTTAAATCTAATGATATTTTTTACAGTTATTCAAAAATTACCAACGCTAAATCTACACCAATTTTCAATACAAAATCGGCTTCAGACGTCTCCGTATCATCACAATCTGCTCATAATTTCAAAACTCCTGGTAGTTCCAACACGCAATCTAATGCAATAATAAAATCAGTAACAATTCTATCCAAACCACAAAGCATTACAACTTCGAGTCAATCTACAATCAATACGAGCTGTAAACTAACAAGCAGCAGTACTACACATCTGACTCATTCTAATCCTAGCGGAAGTAAAGTGACGATTACCACGTCGTTTTCTAACACACCGCCAGTTTCTCTACAAGTAAGTTTGATTTATTTTCGAGATATAATCAAAGCTTAATGGCGTGTTTGTTTCAGTATACGCATGAGAGTAATATTAAAGCGACAGATAACGTAGCACCGTCTCAGAATGCAGCAAATAAAACTTCAAATAGCACCACAAAAACGAAATTGAATACGCCTATCGGTTACAAAACACTGCGCGATCCACCCAAGAGTTGGAACTCTCAAATCTCCAAAGCTAACTTGAGCAAATCTAGTCCAGATCCCAAGTATCCCAACCTCAAGAACGTTAGGCCTGCTAAATTCTTCAAAATTAGAAATAACATACCGAGATACTTAGGTGAGTGGAGTTTCATTTCGATTGATCGTAACTTTACATTCGTTCGATTGCAGGCAACCCGGCTTCAGGAGTTAAGCCGATGTATCAGGTACACGTTGGACCAGACGGCGATAAACAGTCTGAAGCCGCAAAGGCCAAAAAATCTGAAATCAAGAAGCACTCTATCGTGAAAATCGATCCGAAAACTCTTAAACCCGTTTCGGAAAAAGCGCCGGAAACGACGAGCCTTAGTAATAATAATACAGTACTTCAAACGAGCAACTTAACGAGTCCGATGGCGCAGCTTTACTCCACTCCCGGCCAGTGCTTGAACACGACGGTTACAACATCCGGCGGTGAACTGAACGTGCAGACTGATTTGAAGATCAATACAAGTTCGGTGTCGATCACTAATCCGCTCAAATTGCAATGTTCTTCGCCGAAGAACGAGAGGAAATCGCCCAAGAGTCCTCATTCGCCGAAACCGAAGACATCGACCTCTCCTACTGGCAATAAAAAGGATAATAAGGTAAGGCTGTTTTTATAAAAAGAAGCATAACCTTTCGGTTTAAGAAAATGAAGGTGTATGGGTTTGCTTCGAGGACCTTCCTGGTGCTTTAACTCTAAAGGTTTTATGTTTTCCATATTTATAAGAAGAAGCATTTGTTTTAAAAGAGAAGGATTTGCTTCAAATAATGGAATCTGGGTTCATAGCAATTTTTCACAATCTTTTCACTAGTTACTCTGCCATCACCTAACATTTTTCAGTTTATTATGGCTCACATGGCCCATTTACGTGAACACTATCTAGAACCATTTAGAATGCACCAGAATAATCTAGAACTGCCTGGAGTCATTTAGAACTGTCTAGATCAATCTAAAACGCTTCAGAATCATTTAAAACGCTCCACAGTCATTTAGAACTGTCTAGAATCTTTTAGAACTGGCTAGATCAATATAGAACTGTCTAGAATCATTTATAACTGTTTAGAATCATTTAGATCGCTAGAGAATCATTTAGGACTGTTTAGAATCATTTAGATCGCTCGAGAATCTTTTAGGACTATTTAGAACGCTTCAAAATCATTTAGAATTGTTTAGAACAATATGGAATTCTCCTGAAACATTTAAACAGTCTAGAACCATTTATAACGCTCCAGAATAATCTAGAACTGTCTGGTATTATTTAGAACTGGCTAGATCAATTTGGAATGCTCCAGAATCATTTAGAACTGTTAAGAATTATTTAGAACGCTTCAGAATCATTTAGAACGCTCCAGAATCATTTAGAACTGTTTAGAACAATCTGGAATGCTCCAGGAATATTTAAACAGTCTAGAACCATTTAGAATGCTCCAGAATCATTTAAAACTGGACAGATCAATCTAGAACGCTCCAGAATCATTTAGAACTGGACAGATCAATCTAGAACGCTCCAGAATCATTTAGAACTGTTTAGAACCCTTTAGACTCGTTTCGACTAGTTCGACGAAATCGCTAATCTCTGTACTTATCATTTACTTAATTTATCCGAAGCGTTTTCTTGCAAGGAAAATGCGGAGATTATGAATATTAATCCGAGCAAAACCTTTTCCCCTTACCTTTTTGGGTACCTTTTTTCTACCTTTTACTTCACATTAAATGCTTCATTTTTATCAATACAGACTAATAATTTAAAAATAAAACTTGCCGCATTTGATAATTTATTTGTTTCAGATTGCTCGAAATTTCACGCCTCCCAATCCCTTCGTTCCGAATATTCCTACGAAAACATCGCTGAATCCCAATCAATTTATCTATCCGACGTTGCCTCACAGTTTTCCCCCTTACGATCCCAGAGTTATGGCCTATTACAGCCAATGGTACAGCCAGCGGATGCCTTTCCCGGCCTCCGTGCTATCGGGACTCAGCTTGGACCTCAATCAGCGAAAGAACTTGGAGAATTTGATATCGTCTAGCGGTCCAAACATGGACGCTTTAGCTGCACAGGTATTTATTAATTAATATTATTATTCTTATATGCCTTATAAGTTGGTTTTTCAGATGGCTTCAAGATCGCTTCCTTCGTTACCTACGAGTATATCTCCGATGAGAAGATGCCACAATACACCTCCTGTTTCCGCAAAACAATCTTCACCGCCTAAAAAATCTTCGAAAGAACCGAAATCCGATAAGAGTCTGGAAACTGTTGTGGAAAAAATGACCCAAAATCGCAACAAAACTTCCACTCAAACTCAAAAGGACGTCGATAGCCCTAAATTAGCTAAAACTGAGCCTCCTAAACAACCAGTTGTAAAGGAATCTGATGAAAATGCAAAGTTAGAACCAAAAGAAGCGGAACAAAACGAAACTAAAGAAACTGTTGTTAATAACACTGTACCTTCCAATAACGAACCAAAAACAGAAAAGACAGAAGATCAATCAGAGCAAAAGAAGGAAACGCCAGAAGAAGTGAACACTAAATCGGATGCGGTTACGGAATTACCTGAAAAAGAAAATTCGAATACGGAGAATACAATGCAAAAGAAGAAAGAGGGAAGCGAAAACGGCGATATTTTGAAGAGTAAGGAAATCAAGGAAAATGAAGCAGTTATCGCTGAAGAGACAAATCAAATAGAAACTAACGGTAAAGAATAAGGAATTACATTTTAAAAACCTATTTATTTATTTGTTTCAAATAATATCTTAATTTGTCCGGACGCTTGAATTAGTGTAAAGGACACTTTTTTGGAAAAAAAGTGCCTGGTTTCCTAAGTACTATTAACAAAACAAATAGGTTCTTTGTATGATATACATAATGTAAAATAGCAGCTCTGAGGTGCCTTCGAGATGAATTTTTTATTTTGTAGTATTTAAGCTTATGTATAAATTTAGTCTTCGATCATAAAAATACTCTCGCTTTTAAACAAAAATAGTCACACTAGGTCTCTTTCGTTATTTTGTTTTTATTCATAACGACACGAAAAGTTCACAAAACTATACACAAATATTTGCATCCCTACAATACATAATTTTTTTTTTATTAAATTTTACTCGTAATTTTAGAAAATTATTTTTAGTTTTTATCTTTTTCGTTGAACTTTTTGTAGCGTTTTTTATTTGAAATAACCGAAATAGAACGTGAGTTCACCAAATTGTATAAACTACAATTACAGGGTGTTCCACGACGAGTTAAAACTATCTGTATATAGGAAACTATTTATCCGATTTTAATAAAATTTGGTATGCTTATGTAGCCCAATAAGACAAACCTCTTAAAAATGTACCGGACGTACATTATTCCGGAAGTATGGCGCGACTTTGTTATTTTGTTATACTTTGTTATACTTTATTCCAAAAACGCACACTTTTCGAGTTATTTTTTTTATAAAAATATGGAAATTGTTTCTGAGGGGTGGCTACTAGAAAGATCAAATCTATTTGAACTTGTTTTGAAACACTTTACTTTATACAGGGTATGCACAAAAAATGTGAATAAAAGTTTCAATATCTTCAAAATTATTAGATTTAGGTACAGGGAAGTAAACATGAACTTCCCTTATTTTTACTGTTGATTTCATTAAAATAGAAAATAATGGGTGGTTCCATTAAATTAAAATGAAGTAATTTGATATTTTTGAAGTTCAACTTTTCACATTTTTTGTGTATACCCTGTATACCATCAAGAGTTTTTTCAATAAAAGATCAAATACCATTGTCCTTGCTACCCCTCAGAAACCATTTTCATACCTTTAAGGGGATCCTCATAAAAATAATTTACAAGGGTCTACATCGATATACATTCTTACAAAAAAATGAAAAACTCAAATAGTATGCATTTTTGAAATTTAGTATTAGACAAAAGTACCCTAAATTTTTACGTAGATTTCAAATATCTATTAATATACAGGGTGCTCCATTAAAAATAACGTACTTCATGCCTACTTTCGCATTGCATAACATACGAATACCAAATTATATTTAAATGGGATAAGTATAGTTTTCTATATACAGACATTTTACTCGTCGTGGGACATTCTGTATATTTTTCGGTTTCGGGATGTATTTTATAAAGCTGGTGATTTCTTTTAACTTTCTACAATTCGTTTATGTCTATTATGGTGAACTCGAAACACGTTTTATTAAACGTAACGAAAGTCTTTCTTTTTCATTTATTAAATGTTAAAATTGCAAACGAGTTGTCCGTTTTTTAAAAATCGTTTAGATGTACCTATAAAAATATTTTTATAAATGAATCAACGATCTTAATATGCAATAATTTTAGTAAAAAAATAATGACGTCTTTTGTTGAGATATAAAATTGTCTTCTCTATTTTCAGTACGTCTATTCGTACGGAAAGTTTTCTGTGATTGTATAAGTAACACATAAAAAATGGACAATTGCTCATGAACCTTACATTTAAATTTGTTTTTTAGGATCCACATTAATCTAGAATAAGATGTTTTTAATATTTGATTGTAAAATGAAGATTTTATTATTGTACATTGTATATATGGAGAGCACAGATTTTAATATTATTTATAGTTTATGTGGGACTTTCATTTCAACATCCTAGTTAAATCCGGATAAATGCATTTGGATAAATTACTTGGCAAATGAACCTTGCATTTTGAATAATCTGCCATTCGTTTATGATCCGATAAACAATTCATTTGTACTAATTTATTATTAAAAACATACAACTAAATACATTTATATTTACAATACTATTAGTTTTATCGTGTTAAAAATATTTAAATAATCAAAATTAACATATTTAAGGACTTAATATTCTATCGTTACACACTTGGTTTTTAAGTATTCATTTAATGCTTCTTTACCTGAAATTTTAAAAATATTTAGAGTAAGAACAGGAATTTTTAATAGTTGAAATACTCACCTAAATCTTTACCGAATCCGGATTGTTTGAAACCTCCAAATGGAGCAGCAACATCCGTCTTATTGTATGTATTTATAAAAACTGTACCGGCCTCGATACTTTCAGCAAATCTCAAAGCTTTTGAAATGTCTTTAGTGAATACTCCTGAGGCAAGACCATATTCTGTGGCGTTGGCTCTCTTAAGAACGCCATCCAAGTCTCTAAAATTTTTTTAGTATTTTAATTTAATGTCTTTTTATTCTTAAAAAATGTGAACTTACCCATTTCTAAACCTACTAATAAGCATAATTGGGCCGAATGATTCTTCTTTAGCAACATACATGTGATCTTCAACGTTGCTAATGACAGTGGGTTCTAAGAAGTATCCAGGTTTTTGTAGCCTTTTGCCACCATATTCGAGTTTAGCTCCCTCTTTTATGCCTGGAATAAGATAAAATTTATTTTAAGAACTAAAAAAATGTGTACGCATTTTATGCCTTCTTTGTATGTACGTTGTACGCTTAGGTAAAAAATGTTTCTGGGGCATTCTAAATGGTTTTAGACAGTTCTAAATGATTCTGGAGCGTTCTAAATAATTCCCAACGATGTCGATCTGCCTTTGTCTTTCGTATTTCCTCCCGTTTTTCTTTCTCATGTTTAAATTTTTTTAAACTATTTGTGCCTTTTTTAATTTGTAAACATTGAAACTGTTTTCGTTGTCATTTTAAAACGTACGAACTTTACCTTGTTCAATATATTCCAGTAATTTTTTAATATGCGCTAAATGATTTTGCGGTCCGTGCGAGGTCGATTTGTTCAGTGGATCCCCGATTTGGATTTTCTTCGTTTCTTGAACCACCCTCCTGATGTATTCATCGTGAATGCTATCTTCGACGAAAATTCTACCAGCTGCTATGCAGTTTTCGCCTTTGTTGAAAAATACACTTTGCATTCCCTGCAATAACAGCCTAATTAAGAAGCCCAATAAACGAAGAAAGTTGTTGTATTACCAGTCTCACAGCCTTTTCTAAATCACAATCCGAGAATATTACCAAAGGAGATTTTCCTCCGAGCTCCAACGACACTTTTTTCAGATTAGAATCCGCGCAACTTTTCATTATAACTTGACCGATTTCTGTGCTACCTGTGAAACCCAATTTTCTCACATCAGGATGGTCTGCAATAGCTTGACCAGCCACTGAACCTACAAATACAATAAAATTTAGGTATAAAAAATATTAACAAAGTTTAGATTAATTTACCAGAGCCGGTTACCACGTTAATCACTCCAGGTGGGAATCCCGCTTTAGCGGAAAGTTCAGCGAATTTTAGAGCTGTTAACGGACAAACTTGAGCGGGCTTGATCACTACAGTATTCCCGGCTGCTAAACATGCAGCCATTTTCCACGATAACATCATCAAAGGATAATTCCATGGAGTTACCAATCCACAAACACTTTATAAAAGTTTACATTAGATCGCGGATTTTTTTGTTTTGCTGGAACTTACCCAATCGGTTCTTTTTTTGTGAATGATAGATTTCTGTTGGGTCTCGCGTGTGATATAGGTATCGTTGATCCTTCTATTTTGTCTGTCCACCCGGCAAAATACCTCCACGTTTCTATGCTCATTCCAACGTGAGTTTTCAATGCCAATGTGTACACTGCACCCGAGTCGATTGATTCAATTGTCGCCAGTTCCTCTTTGTGTTCTTGCATTAAATCTGCCAGTCTGAAAATAATTCCGAAATATTGTTAGCGATGATGGTTTAATTAAATTGTGAGTAGCTTACTTGTAGAGCAAGAGGCCTCTATCCCTAGCGCTGATTTTACTCCATTCTCCGTTTTGGAAAGCATTTTTAGCTGCAGCTACGGCCTTATTGACATCATTTTTCGAAGCGCATTGAACCTGTCGAAAATAATAAATTAAATATACACTTTTTTTATAAATCTTTGCAAACTAACATTGCAAATGACTTCCTCTGTAGCAGGATTGATGGTGGGTGTAGTTTTTTCATTTTCGGCGTCTACGAATTCCCCGTTAATAAACAACTGACAAGGAAATCTTATTTTCATCTTGTTGATGTCCATTTCTACGGCTCTGTACTCGATATTAGCCTTGCCACTGCCACCCCTGCATTTGAGTATCACGTTTTGACAGAATTCCAAAAATGTTGGTTCCAAAAAGACGTCTTCGTTTTCTAATTCGGTCTTGGAAATTTCCTTAACTTCTTCCACGAGTCTTTAAATGATTTTTAGGAAATTAGTAAGGTTTTTAAGGTTGTGATTATGAGATTTTTACCTGACAACGTCCATAGATCCAGCACCGCAAGCAAAGAAATCCGTGCTTTCCTCTATATCGACGTTTAAAATTGCTTCCCAAATCTGTCTAATCGATTCGATTAGGATTTTTTCTTCCGGCGTGAATTCAATGTCTACTTGTTTGGAAACTTGATCGAGAGTCGAAGCGTTTTTCATACGACCTAAAAAAATTACAATTATTTTTGGAACTAACCGCATTTATAGTGGACTTACCGTTAACTTTAACTCGCTTGATATTTACATATTCTTTGTCGGAACCAACTAACAACAAACCCTCATCGTGAATGATACCAGGCTTTGTGCCTTGTATTTCCACAGTCTTCCCGATAGGTACTGGCTCCTTCCATAAAGACGATCCGAAGAGTAATGCTTCCTTATAATCCTCCGATCCCGGCAATTTGATCATGCAACTAGCCCCAGGAACGGAATCCATACCTCGTACGAAATTGTGAAGCTCCAAAGCCGTTTTACTCCAATCAATCTAAACAATAAACAACTTAATACATAAAACTTAGAGTTTTCTCAAAAATTTTACTTTCTGCAACTCCGGTTTGTTCAACATGGGATCATACGTGGCCCCTTTTTCGCTTTGTACTATTTTCGGGGCTGTATCGTTGGCCACCATGTCCACTCCTCTGGCTACAGCTACCACACCGGCTGGATAAAGGAACCTCTTGTAAAGAGTATCCACAGTATCGTTTTCTTCCACGTCGCATTCTTCCTGAAGAAGAATCGGACCTGTATCTAACCCATCATCGGCCCAAAACACTGTTAATCCAGCCTTTTTGTCGCCGCAAATTAGAGTCCTGAGGAATTAAACATTAGAACACTGGATCTTTTTTCTGTAATAGTTATTGGTACTTACCAATTTATAGCACTAGCACCTCTGTGCTTGGGCAGTATTGATGGATGGTAGCAAATACTTTTCAATCGGGGGTGATTGATGACTTCCATGGGAATGAATTGGGAACAATATGGTAAGACATTGAGGTCGGCTTTGACGCTTCTGTACTGATCCAGAATTTCCGGTAAAGGTTTGCCAGCTTTTCTCCAAGCTTTTATTTTGAACACTGGTATGTTTTGTTCGGCGGCTGCTTTGGCTGTCAAGTAAAGTAAACGTGTGTTAATCAGGAGTTTTTAAATGAAAATTAGTAAAATTTATACCTAATGGATCTTCCCTTTTCCCTTTATCGGTGATTGTAAATACTCCAACGATTGTGTGTCCATGTTGCTCCAGTGTTTGCATAACATCCACGGCGAATTTGCTCTGTCCAATGATGGCTATTTTGAGGGTAGGTTTATCGGAAAGGGTGCGATTCTGCAATATAAAAATATTACTGAAATTAACCATAAAATCGCCCTTTCGATAATAATTAAGTAGATACACTTTAAATTGTTTAACAACTATAAAATCAAGGTGGAATTTATTATAATCAGTAAAAAGTTGAAAGTAATTTGCGTCACCGAAACTATTCACTAATAATATACCTAGCTAATACCTAAGTTAATTTCTCTCTCAAGAGAAACATTTTCACAATCAAATGTGGGACACCGATAACTAAAATTTTATTAATAATCCTTAAATTGATTAAATCGTTTAAATAAATTAAATATAAAAATAGGTTATTCCTAAATTAAAATTCCAATAATTTCTAAAAATAATTTTAATTTGTACGAATTATACGATTACTTACGTTAGGTGGCATTTTTACAAAATCACTATCTCTTTAGTTAAAGAAACGTTTCTAACGAATGGCCAGTAATTCGACCTTTTCTTGCGTTTTATACGATCGCTGTCGCTTTATCAACCGCCACAAATTTTATTCTAATTTTGTATTGGCGCAGCAAGGAAAGGCTCAACGATCGGAACAGCATATTTTTCAAATCCCACATTTATCGCATTGTAAATTAAAATGCATAATAGAAACAACATAAGACGAGCACTTATCGTCGAAATGATACACTCTTCGAGAACTTTGTTTTGTTTAATTAAATTTATTGCTGCTCCAATTCTTATAGGGAATGTGAAAAATGGGAGTTTAGACTAAAAAATTAACATACATATATCTCTTTTACCGGAAAATAGGAAAACAAATAAAGTCAATATTTAAAAAAAATATATTCTAGTTTCTGGGCCTTTAATAATACATATCTTTGATTGATATAATAATTTCCATCAAGGCCATATAAGCATGCGAAGGAATATAACAATTTAAAAAAAAATATTACTGGAGGTATTTTATTTTAATTTATTCTGTTTTTTATAGAATAATTTATTTTGATTGGTTGTTATGTAAATGATGAACAAAAATAACTAGTTTCTTATTACTATTATGTAACTGTGCATTTATAATAAGTAATTGAATTGTTTTTACATTTAATTTCAATATTTACTTACATATGTAAATTAGGACATTTATTTGCGGACAATACTAAAGGATTCAAAAAATTAATCTAGGGTTAGTTGTTTTTCATTTTTTTTAACAATTTTATTCAACAACTTAATTACTTAAGCCACTAAAAAGTTCATTTTAATATTTTTACCAACTCATACTTTAACAAACAAAAGAAAGTCGTTTATCTTTTCAACATGAATTTGTTTTGAATAATTTCTAATAATCTGCTATTTGCTTTTCCCGAAACATTATTGTACATAATGTATATCTAAATATGCAATTGTTGTGACACATGTGAACGCAGGTCACGCAAAGAACCCAACGAACCGGTTATATCCAGTTTAGAAAATTTTTATCTAAATAATTGTAATTAGAACTTATCGACACCGTATATCGCAACCGCGTGATCTGCACAAACCGATTGAAATTACATTTATTTCCCTCGTTTTTCGATTTATTTTCGTTCGCAAGGTCTTTCATTCAAATTATTGATTATAGTTAATTCATTTCTTTATAATCTCTACCTACATACTATGTATACATATCTAGCAAGAGAGAGTTTGAGCAAATGTACCTATAGCAATAGAAGGTTTTTTGTAAATTTAATTGACTAATTAATTAATTAATTGAATTTAAACTGAAGTAAATTGACTTAAAAAATCAAAAACTAATTTTTACCTGTATTTTGTTTGAGCTAACAAAAATGATTAGAGTACATAGAATAAGAATAAATTAAATATTTTCCCTTTTTTTATTTAACACAATTAATAATTCTATAATTATGTAAATTATTAAACAAAAATTAGTTTGGTGATTAAACAATTTTCAAGAGAACTGGATTAAAGCGGTTTGGTTTATGTCGTGTCACTTTAGGTCAAATGCCAATTGATAAATGTTATGTTTAAACTAGTTGAAAAAGTAACCGGTTATGAGGTTAAAATACTCAGAATTTGATAACGATATATGCAATATGTGGAAATTTATTTTTCTGTTTTTTTTTATTTACTGTGCATCGTTTAGCAAAAAAACTCTATTGAAATATAGTTACTTGTTATCTCTTCCCCTATGAAATATATTCCTTTATGTATTTTATAATAGCTTCTATGGGTACAAGCAGGGGCTCCACACCCTCAAAAGTTCACTATTATTGCTAAATCAGTGAGCCTATTTTAGGTGACTACCTGACCCTTATTTTTACTTTTATTCTTCTATTGAATAAAATGACACACAGGAAACTACAATTTTACAGTTGTAACCAAAAGCAGTAAAATATAAAAATAAAAGTTGATTGTCCAGCAAATTGAATTCAAAAATTAGTAATTACAAAAACTAATTTTGATAATTTAAAAAGTGCCTTTTACTAGGTAGGACGCCGTTAGCACTAAAATTTCCTGGTTACTAAGTTGGTAACCTTTTTTCTACTACAGAAGGCGCCAATCGTCAGCTGTCAAAGTCCTGTTGTCAGCTGTCACTTATCCTTCATTTTCGCATGTCGCTTATTTTGTAGAAATGGCTGGCGTGTTTAAAGAAGATGTTTGGAAAAACTGGGAAAAATCAGGAAAACAGGAATTGTGAGTACTTACAATGTTTAAATTATATCATTTACTATTATCTGAAGCACTTTTTAACAACGATTTAACTTATACATTTTTGTATGAATTGTAGAATTCGAAGCGTTACTTATTCTTTTGCAATCTTTTTTTATTATCAAACATTATGAAAATTTTAAACTATTATAAACCTTTTTTGGTATGTACTGTTTATTGAGTTAATTAATTGCAGTTTATTTTAGTTAAATGTTATGCATTGAAGATAAATATTTCTACGAAACTTACAAACTCTGTAATACTTTCGTATTAAGCTAAAATTGCAAAAATATCAAATTACTTTATAACGAAATCTTTTTCAGCGTCAAAGTTTGCGTTCCTTTTCTTAAAGATGAAACCAAATCTCCATTATTTGACAAAGCTGGAAAATCTACACCATTCGTAAGCTATATAAACGAATTAATAGACAAAGGTATCAAGGGTAATATTAAAACAGAACAAGTTGCCAACACGCTGCGTGAATTAGTGGTAAGTTTGGATATTTCATACTTATTAAAGCAATTAAAATACCTAATTGTTTCCAGACATTACATCCGGATGTTCCTTCCATAATACTAGATGTATTAAATTTGGCAGATGCGATAACCTCTCAAGCGGATAATGATGAAGTTAAAGACAGAAATAATTTTTGTACTATCGTTAAAGAATGCGAAAAGGTAATATAAATAAAATATATCCGATTATATTGTTTATTATATTGTTACTTTTTTAGTTTTTGTCCGACAAATTGTTAAAGGAGAGGTTAGAAATAGATACTTTACAAGAAGTAGGAGTATTAAAAAATAACACTTTTTACTCTAAATTCATCAAAGTTAAAACCAAACTATAGTAAGTAAAAATTAATAATTTTATACTACCGCATAAAACATTTAAAATTCTTATCGAAATAAGATTTTACACAGTTTTATGCTATATTATTAAGCATGCGGACTCCTTTTATTGTGAAGTTAAAGTATAAAAGTTTTGAGACATGCTAACAATTTTCATTTGTGCATAATATACTTATTATGATAAAGTATTTTTATAAATCGCTAACATTTTATTTTTTTCAGTTACAAACAACGAAAGTTCAATTTATTTAGAGAAGAATGCGAGGGCTTCTCAAAATTAGTCACAGAATTAAATAACCAATTCAGCGAGAACGCAGATTCAAAAGAGTTAATAGGAATAGTTCAATCGTTGATAGGTAATATTTCAGTTAATTTCAACAACTAGAGACTATTTAGCAATTATGTTCTTTTAGGTTGTTTTAATTTAGACCCTAATAGAGTGCTCGATGTAATATTAGAGAGTTTTGAGAACAAGCCCAAAGATGCTAAAGTATTCGTGTCTCTTATCAATAATTACACAAACGATCCGAACATAATAAGTGATGTTTTGTCCACAAAATTTGGATTTCTAAAAAACAGCGAACAAGATATACCACATTCTTTATACATCCTTACAGCGCAGTTGCTTCAGAATAAAATCATCGAATTGAATGACATTTATTATTGGGTAAGTATTACACAAAACAAACCAAAACGCCAATTATCACAATTGGGATAATTTTAGTTACTTCCCGAAGATAAAACTATTAACAAGGAAGTCGACAAGCACATGAAAGACGCTCGAGAATACGTGCGAAAACTCCAAATAATCAGCATAAATAATAAGGAAAAAGAAGATATTCCTGATGAATCGGATGTCGAAAGCGAAACGTACGAAGGAAACCAAAAGTTAGGCCTCTGCGAAGCGTTGCTTATGATTGGCGATTGGGAAAATGCTAAAATTCTCATTAAAAGATTACCAGAACGATACGCCGTTAGTTACGAACCTATAGCTAATGCTTTATGCAGTCTTTTGCACCATATTATTGAACCGGTTTATAGCAAGTTTGGAGTGTTTGGATCGAAAATACCGAGGAAACCTTACAGTGCTTTCGATGGTTTAAAGCCACCACCTCAAGCAGAAAATTTCAAAGACTTGCGTGAACTCGCTTTACCGATGTTTCTAATGTTGGGGGCGTCGTTAAGATATGATACAGTTCTTTTATCGAAAATAGTGAGATTGTCCAAATCGGTTCTTGTCTCTTATGGTATAGACAATGCTAAATCTCAGCCGCCCAAAGAAGATTCTTTGTATTACGATATTCTTTCGCTGATAGATCTAACCATTTTGCCATCGTTAGCTTATTTGGAATGTAATTGTTGTATAGCAGAAGAAATTTGGACACTTTTGAAGCTGTATCCGTACCAAATAAGATACTGTTTGTACTCGAGATGGAAGAATGAGACTTACTTCTTATACCCTGATTTGCTGAAGAAACGAGCGGACTCTGAGAAACAAATTAAAAACCTCATGAAGCGAGTCAGTAAAGAAAACGTTAAACCAGTAGGGAGGCTTATCGGAAAGCTCACCCATTGCTCTCCGGGTTTCCTCTTCGATTATGTTCTACTGCAAATACAAGTCTATAACAATTTGATCAACCCAGTGGTCGATTCTCTTAAATACTTGACGAGTTTATCCTACGACGTTTTGGGATTCTGCCTCATCGAATCGCTGGCTAATGCCGAGAAGAAACGAGTCAAGCACGACAGCACTTCGATTTCCACTTGGTTACAAAGCCTGTCCAGTTTCTGTGGAGCCGTTTATAAAAAATACTCCATCGAATTGTCGGGTTTGTTGCAATTCGTTGCTAATCAACTCAAAGCTCAGAAAAGGTACATCTGGAATACCTTTGTCGATTTAACTAACTGATGTTAACGTTCGTTTTAGTTTGGATTTGCTGATCCTGAAAGAAGTAGTTCAAAAAATGGCCGGTGTAGATGCGGCGGAAGATTTAACCATGGACCAACTGAATGCTTTGGCCGGTGGGGAACTTCTGAAATCTGAGGTAAAGATTATTTATTGCTTTAAGTGCAATATGGTCCAAAGTCTACTATTAGTCTCATGTAAAGGAGAAAGAATGATACTGTGGGATTGAAACTTTCTCGCTCTAACAACTGTTATTTTTATAATCCATCTTAGTACTCATAGAATTTGCCACCGCATATCCCCGAAAATCCTGGAAGCGACGTTCTACTTTCAATAATATATTTTGTCTTGAATGTTGTAGGCTGGATATTTCAGTCAAATTCGCAACACGAAAAAATCTTCGTTAAGACTGAAGGAAGCGATGATAGAAAACGATCTGGCTGTAGCATTGTGTCTTTTGATGGCACAACAGAACTACTGTGTCGTTTACAAAGAAACGGCGAAGAATAGCCACTTAAAATTAGTGGGAAAATTGTCCGATCAGTGTCAAGATACTCTAGTACAATTTGGGACGTTTCTTGGTTCGACATTGTCCGTAGACGAATATGTTAATAAATTACCAACCATTCAAAGTATGCTGACGGATTACCATATTCCTTTAGAAGTAGCATTTTTCTTGGCGAGGCCAATGTTTAATCACGCCATAAATGTAAGTTGTTTGTTCATTTTATATTCTCGAGTCTTAAATTGATTTGGTTTATTTTAGCAAAAATACGATCAACTTAGGAAAATGGATCCGGCCTACAAGAAAATGTCGAACGCCATCAAAAATCAAAAATATTACGAGTCTGCTTTAGACGTGATGGAGCCCGTGTGTTTATCTTTGCAACATCTACATCCGCCCAGAGTGTGGGAAGACATTTCTCCTCAATTTTTGTCCACGTTTTGGTCGCTGACTATGTACGACTTATTTGTACCTGAAGAAACATACCAACAAGTCATCAACAAAGCGAAAATGGCCGCACTAGCCAATATGGACATGGGCGTGAAGGGAAAGAAAGAGCAAGAAAGATACCAGACTCTATCGGAAAAACTTTCGGATGAGAAAAGAAAGCAAACGGAACACGTCGACAAGATAATGTACAGATTAAAGCAAGAAAAAGATAATTGGTTTCTGTCGAAATCGGTTAAAACGACTGCTAAAAATGAAACTATCACCAGATTCCTCCAATTATGCGTTTTTCCGAGATGCATATTCACGCAGATTGATGCTGTGTATTGCGCAAAGTTCGTTCACACGATCCATTTGTTAAAAACGCCCAACTTCTCCACTTTGCTGTTTTACGATAGAGTAAGTACGAATCGAGCTGTACTAATCAACCATCTAATATAATTTTTATTTAGCTATTTTGCGATGTAACGTATTCTATAACATCTTGCACGGAAAACGAAGCGATGAGATACGGAAGATTTCTATTCGCCATGCTAGAGACCGTCATGAGATGGCACAAATCGAAAGATATATTCGAAAAGGAGTGCGCCAATTACCCCGGCTTCGTGACGAAATACAGAAAAAACAACCAGCACGCCGATAATTTGGACAACGTCGATTACGAGAACTACCGGCACGTTTGCCACAAGTGGCACTACAAGCTGGCCAAAGCCATGGTGACTTGCTTGGAGTCCAAGGATTACATTCAAATCAGAAACTCGCTGATTATATTGATCAAGATCATCCAGCACTTTCCGATTTTGATTAAACTGAGCCAGTTCATCGAGAAGCGAATCGAGAAAGTTAGGGACGAGGAAAAGAATAACAGACAGGACTTGTTCACGTTATCCAGCAGTTATTTGGGATTGTTGAAGCAGAGGACGTTTAGCGGTCAGTTTATGAGGGAGAATGAGTTTCACATTCCTTTGGAAAAAGAAAAGGTATTCGAAAAGTCCAAAAATTTTTTATGTTCTCCGGCATTAACATTTTTTTTTGGTTTCTTTTAGGGCAATAAAGGTCACGATAACAAAAACGAAGCTGCCAGTAAGCAACACAATGGGGAAAACAGAGGTAATTTTGTATTCATAACTACTTGAAACTTCTTCTAATTGTATTATTTTAGAAGACGTCTCGAATGGTCAGAGTAAAGCTGAGAAAAAATCTTCTAAACAATCATCCGAAGAGGGAAGCAGGACCACCAAAAGCCAAGTAATCTCGGTCGATATTAGTGGGTAAGTAAAAAACGTCTGTAATTAGATTTTTTATACCTTCTGACAAAAAAGTACCCAGAATATCTCATTTAAATTACCTCCACTTTACTCACCAGATATAGCCTCGTGGGACATTTTTTTGTTACCCAAACTTAAATTGCCACTTTGGAATGCCGTTTTGACTTGATAAGAAAATCAAAGAAAATTCGAAGGAGCTAAAAGTCGTAACAAAAAGGGTCTATAAAAAATATTTCGATGATTTTAAAAGGCGTCTGACTATGTGTATCGCTTCAAGAGCAGGAGCTTCAGGAGCATATTTTGAAGATCAGAAGATCACTCAAGAAATATTAACGAAGATTAGAAATTTTCCGTTTCATTCCAAATTTCCGGGTACTTTTTTAGTCACTGTGTACTATGCTTCATTACAATCTGATCTATCTCTTCAACCTGCTTATCTACTACTTTAACAACCACATAACAACACTCAAACAACAACGAAATATCCTTACTTTTAAACTCTCGGGTAACAATTAAACTATTATGTATAATATTTGCGCTTATTCACAGATCCAGTCCGTCCAAAGAAAGATCCGAAAAGTCCCAACGCGACGAACCTGTCAAAGAAAAGCATCGATTCGACAAACAAAACGAATTGGACAAGGAACGGGAAAAAGAAAAGCGCAGAGAAAGGAGAGAGGAAAAATCGAACGCCAAAGACGACAGACACATCTATAGTAGTAGCAGAGTAAGTGTTGAAAAAAGCGCAATTGAATGAGTGATTGGAAAAAGGATAAAATTCTAAAAATATCGCGAATTAAAGTGAGATAGTCATTTTGTTCTAATTTTCCCGCTGGGCGCAAACATAAAATTGCCAGCCCCCTTCATATCATAATTGTATTGGTGAATGGAGAAAGAATATCCCTGGAATTTTAACCAGGTTGGTTACTGATCCTGACGATGAATGTCAGATTTGAGATAATTCATTAATATTTCCTATCCGAGGTCATCATTTTTTGCATTGTGACAAGTTTTTTTTGATTTCCCAAAACTGATAGATTCACTGCAATTTTATCCTTTCTCCAAACGCCCATTCAATTATTTCTTATTCTAAACATTCTTTTTATCTCAGGAGGAAAGGTTCATCGAGCTACTAGGCTCGAAAGACGAAAATCGCTATTCAAACGAGAAACAACTAGATAGATACTACGATGATAGAGGCGGAGGAGCGAGTAATTACTACAGAAATGACGACAGAGAATTGTCCATTAGCGGTAACGGCACCGTCGGGAGGAGAAGTCAGGAGCCCGAACCCGAAAGAGGTAATAACTTTAAAATAATATTTTATAATCATACTACTGCGACAAAAAAAGTACCCGGAAATTTCGAATAAAACGCAAAATTCCTAATATTTATTAATCTTTCTTGAGTGTTCTTCAAACATCTTTTCACCTTTTTCAATCATCGAATTTTCTTTGATGGTATTCATGGAGTTAAAACGGGATGATCGAAGTGGCAATTTGAGCTTGGGAAACAAAAAGAAGTCGCACCATGCTATTTCTGGTGAGTAAAGCGGCTGGTTGATGGTACTTCACACGAATCATCATCTGCATCGACCAGTTGACTTTACCGTTTTTGAAAAAAGTCAGCTCTATCGGAACGAGCGGAGCCTCAATGCCCAGCATGTCTGATTGATTGAGCAAAATCAAACGAGCGCTTTAACGGGTGATGTTGAAGTCACCTGCTACTTCTCTATTACTAACATGATGATTTTCGAACAAAATTTACTTCATTTCCTCGCCGTTATCATTGGTTGAAGAAGTCGAAGACCGTCCGGAACGAGGCAAGTCTTTAGCGATCTCCCTACTGTCTTTAAAAGTTTTGTAACAATCGTAAATATGGGTTTTGGATAAAACAGAGTCACCTTAAGCATTTGCATCGATTCGGCCCACGAATTGTTCATTATTTTCGTTAATTGCGAAATTCGCAGAGCACTGCTGATATGAACTAATTCTATCAGTTGCTACAACCAAACCGATTGAGAAATCTCCAATTTTTTGCATTTTAATTAAGAACATTGTTACCTACATACATAAGCTTGAAATAGATAAAAATATTAAGTGCAGGTAATTTAAATAAGAAATTCCGGTTACTTTTTTGTCAGAAGGTATAAACAACAAACAACTATAATTTCATCTGTTTGCTTCAGATTCAAAGCGAAGAAAAGTCGACGGTTCTTCGAAGGTTAGTATCGAAGTCAGATAACATCGGTGCTGTATTATAGGTTCCGCCACGGAATGTCAATTCCACATTGGGAGATTGGGCTGAAAAGTGAAAGTTTTCCTCAAATTAATTCAAAGTGTTGGGACTAAAGAGTGCGCGAACGAAGGACTTGCGATTTACAAAAAAAAGTTTGGTTTTGCCAGCAAGGTTCCAGTACGCCTCGAAAGAATGCGATTTTCTACCAGAGAATGTATTATTTAATTTAAATTCGCCAATAGAACTGCACACGAACCAGCAAAAATGAAAGAATAAGCTGCTAATTTGTGTTGAAACAATAGAGCAAATGTAACCGCTAATGAAAAGAAATGGGTTCCTAAGCGTTTGTTGTCATACCAAAAGAATATTTTATAATTTTTTACTGGCTGCCTTTGAAACACTTATGAGAAGATGGGCCGAAACATTAGATCTTTTTTACGTAAAAATGAAATTGAAGTGTCCTTCAACTGCCCCGTGGAATCATCATCATCATCTCAATTGTGTAATTTATTGGAACGTCTGTAGTACGTTGTCTCCTTGTTATCATTTTCTGCCGATTGGAATACTCCTCGACTACAAGAAATTTGGTGTACTGTTGCACTACGGGGGAAAGAAGAAATTTTTGCAATTTTCCGCTATTGTCCTGTTTGTTTTAAATTCGACGGAAAAGGGATGTCTGCCAGCAATTGGATAGCATATCCGTCCGGCGAGGAAATTATATTTAAGGAACGTTCGGTCTTTAATTTGATGCGATAAGTCAGCCCAATCTTCCGCAGTATTCTAGTCGGATATGGAATTTGGCACCTAAAGGTAGGTGGTACATGTTAAGTTCCAAGTGTTTATAAAGTTTGTTTGTAGGAATTTTTCTATAAGTTTGTAAACGTTTGAAGAATTATTTTTGTTTGTTATTAAATGATCCAAAAGGGAGAAGCCTCAATTTATTTTTGACGAATATGTTTATAAAATTGACCATTATAAGTATGCAATAAATAATTGTTTCACTTTAATACCTTGTGTGTCGTTGAGAATTTAACACAATGTTTCTTTTTTTTCTGATATCTGTAAACTTTATGAACACTTAAGTGATATGTATTTTGTGCAAATATCTAAACAATTTTGTATGTAATAGTTAAAAAAATGTCTGTGTATTTTAAAAATTTCTACACTTATCCATTCAATAACGAATATTGTTTGTAAAACTGATTTTGGAAGAACTTGTTAAACACCTTTAATCACCAATTGAGAATATTTCAACAATTTTTTCCAATATCTGAGAGTTTTAAAATGTAATGCTCTTTTTTTTACTTATCATTTACATTTTAACATATTTTGAGGCAATATTTTCAATATTCCGGAGCTATGCAAGATTTAACTAAAAATATTGAAGATAAATTGTCGAGGAATCATCATCATTAGTGCCAGAAGAGGAATTGGTTTATGGAGATTCTACATAATCGTTTCAATACGTTGGAAAAATTATGTAAAGTTTGTACGTTTTAAAATGACAATGACGTCACGAGTCATCTTGTTGCAACGTTGCCAGGTTGTAATTGAAATCTAAGGTTATATTTACTTTCAATATTTACGAATTAAAAAGGTCCCAAATAGTAGATTTTAAACATGAAAAATAACATCAGGAGAAGATACAAACTCTGCCTATAATAGAACATCCAAGAATCATTTAGAACGCTCCAGAATCATTTAAAATTACCCTGAATCATTTGGAACTCTCTAGAATCATTTAGAACGCTCAAGAATCATTTAGAACTCTGCAGAATCATTAAGAACCACCCAAAAAAGACAAAAATCGCTGGGAAAGTCACAAAAATAACAAGTTGTAGTCAAATCGTGTCAACTAAAAAGAGCGGAATTTTGAGGCTAACGATATGGCAACAACGCATCAGCAATTCAACCGCGCTTAGTAAAATTGAAATCCCCTAGTCAAATGGCAAAATTAACATTGGTACAAGGGACATTTTAAACGTGGAAATTACTAAAATGTATTACGTCATTGTCATTTTAAAACGTATGAACTTTACCACAAAATTTCCAGAGCCAAACTTGTGAAAACAACTTCATCATGCCTCATAATATTTATGATTTTGTGTCTAAGAAATTTAGATACGACCATTTCACCTATATCCTTTTAACCGATACGAAATTCTATCTGATTAGATGTTTCTCATAATTTTTGTTTAAATGTTGTTGAGATGTCAGAGAAGAACGAAATATCTATGTTGTGCGCCATTGATTTGGCAATGCCCATGATCTTGGATCACATTAATGAAAACCCAATGGTTGTCTGCAGAGTTCCAAACACGATGAGCGGAAATCGAATCCGGACTTTTACCCCGAGAAGGCGGAAAAAAGAGAAAGATCCGTGAAACCTAAAGAGAAAAGGGAAAAATTAAGCGAAGAGGAGAAGGAAATGCGAAAAGAGAGAAAGATGGGCAGAAAGCGGGTAAGTCTGTCGTAGGGAACCCTAGCAGGAGTTCGTTTATTCTTCAAATTGTAGTATTTTTCCTTCATTTTATTTACCATCTGAAACTATCGCCAGGAAGTTTCTGGTCCTTAATTAAATAACCGAACGAAGACATGGAAGGAGTGCAGTTAAGAGATGAATTGATATTTGTTTTTGACTGTGTGTCGTTGTTATTTTCATCATTCATTCTTTTAATTTAATTAAGTTTGTAAAATAAACAACTTGACATTTTATTTGTATTTTAGGACAGACTAGACGAGACTCTACAGTTGGAAATGAAAAGGCGACGAGATGAAGAAAAAGGTAATAGACTAAATAATTTTATGAAAATAATTGTGATTAAAAATGTCGTATTTTAGCTTCTAAACTTGTTTCTCCAAATGGAGAAATGATCGAGCCGCCCATGCATTTAAGAGAAAAACATCATAGAAATAGGGTAAGTTATATTTCCATGTTTACGCCTATATTCACCAATTTCGGCTTTTCAACCTGATAACTGTCAGTGCAATAAAATTTAACAGTCGGTTAACAATAGTAAATTGTTATTAACAAAGATATTCGAAGTAACTCGTAAAAACTTTGATAAGTTCAACATTTGGTTTGAAGTTATCAGTCTGTTACTTCTTTTATCAGGTCGATTTTGCTCTGGTACTTTCATCTGACTGTTAAGTATTAACTGACATTGGTGAATGCCAAAATATGACGTTAACAGATTGATAAGAACTAATCTCCCTGTTAGCGATTTAACAGACAGTGGTTAATATGACCGATAAACGAGTATGCTTATCTTTTTAGGAAATATCACCATATCAAAGGGAAAGATCTCATGATAAGTCGGAATCGAGAGAAAAACAATATCCTTTACGAAACAAAAAACACTAACTGTTAAAAGTAAGAAATTACTGTATTTTATTTTAAGATTATAAATAATTAAGAATTTGTGAATATTAAGTATCGTGTAGACTTGAATAAGTTGTTCAAGTCTGGATGAAACTTCAACGAAATCAAATTAATTTATTTCATTTTTTTTCCTTAATGAAAGATACCAGAAGGAGTTCGGAGAATAAGAGAAGATAACCAACAATTACTATAAGATGAGAAAATGAGTAAAAATAAGTACGTGTTTCAAGGCGAATTTGTTCAATGAATGTTCATCGTGAGAATTTTATTATTTAAGTTTTTAGTTTTTAATGTGATCCATTTTGTGTAATAAAACTAAATTTAGTTACGTTTTATTTTTCATTTAACAAATCTTTCTCGTACATGCATAATTAACGTGGATTGTGATACTCCAAAGGGTTTTTATTTATATCATGTTCAATATTATAATTTATATATTATAAAATGATTTTCTCTAAAACTTTCTGTATATGTCATGATTTAAAACTTATTCATATCACGATTTGTTGAATAAAATATATACATTTTTGCTATATACTTAGCATTCTGTAGTATTGGGATAATCAGTGTTAGTTTCTATAGTAGTTCCGGTGAAATTAAACGAACTATTGTGTCTTTTCCTTCGAATGAATGGTAACACTGCGGATGTATTATAGCTAAAATTTTTATCATACTGTTTATTAAGCCTTTTAATAAACTGTTCCTTTAATAATCTCAGGCATCTAAAAACAAGAATAACATGTAGTTACTGAAAAACTAGAACAAAACGGGTTACTTACAGTCTATATACAGAAGACGTCCTAAATCTGCCCAAGTCGTAACTAGGAGTGTGTGTTTTATGAATTATAAATACGTCAGGTAGCACGGTGAATTCATAATTTTGTGCTTCTAATTCCATTATATGTGATACTTTGTTCCAACCGAATCCAATAAAGTTTTCGTCGTATTCCACAACGTCACTTCTAACGACTATGTAAGGTTCATAGTCAACTTCCCACTTGACCTAAAAGGAATCGAGAATAATTTACTGCATAATCAGGTAAATATGAATAATTATACCTTGTAAGGTTTAGCGCTATTTTTCCAAATATCGTACATAGTAGGTGTGTGCCCTGGGGCCCAAATCGTCGATAAAAACGGTATAATAGATTTATTGCTCAAACCCTCTAAAAGTTGCTCCTTATTACTCGGCAATTGGTTGAGAAACGTTTGAGCTTCAAAAGCAGGAACAATTAAAGCCTGAAATTAATTCATTTAGAGTGTGCCTTGCTTCGTTTTATTTAAATGTTTACCTTCTTTTTTAACGATCCATTCATAGCGATGTATTTTATTAACGACTCGTATAAATTATTAGAAGGCAGGAAATCGATATCTGCCAAAAACACGTAATCAGTCTGAACGTTTCTCAAACCTACGTTTCTTAAAATATTTATCGGGTAAACGACCTAAAAGATGAAAGTGTAAAAAAATTATATGGGAGTTTAATATAACTCACTCCTTCTTTAAAAACAGCGTGATATGCTATGTTCATTCTTTCTTTTAAAACGTCTGAATTCGCAATGAATGCTATGCATTTCAACAGCTCAGGATCTGACACGTAAAGCGTAAAACTAATGGGACCTAAAAATATTTTTTATGAACATAAAATCGCCTAAAATTTTTCGTTTAAAACAAACCTGCCCAGGCTTTAACTAACTCCTCAATGGTTTGTAGCCGGTCAAATGATAACTGAGCAACAAACGTCACGTCATTTTCAATTGCAACGTATTTATATTCCCTAAAATACAACAAAGTTCTCCAACGCATGTTGGAGAGATTGTGAAATTCAGAGCAAATATCGTCAGACACATTTGGAGGATTTGTTGTAGCCTTTCCACAAACTTGCAGTTTTTTTCGTAACAAATTTCCATTGTATTCTTGAAAACCGATAGCAAGGCTTCTGAAGTATTCACCATCTTTATTCTCTACGTTATATTTTTTCGGAGAATTCCAATGAACTATCTAAAAACCCCACAACATTACACCAAAGTAAAATAAGAGCTAAAGTTCGTACGTTTTAAAATGACAATGACGTCATGAACTAGCCTGTTGCAACGTTGCCGGGTTGTAACTGAAATCCTTTATATTACTGATATGTTTAATTTAAGATTATCTTTTCTTTCAATGTTTACAAATTAAAGTCACAAATAGTAGAATTTAAACATGGAAAACAACATCGGGAGGAGATACTAACTCGCGATTATTAATTTAACTGAATATTATGAAAATTACACCAAAAATTCACGAAAAATATAAAAAATCGCGGGAGAAATTGATAAACGTCAGGAACCGCACGAAAAACTCTAAAACAGGCTAAAAAGGCAAAATTCGCTGGAAATCATTTAGAAGTGTCTAGAATCATTTAGAAATCTCTAGAATCGTTCAGAACTATCTAGAACCATTTACAACGCTCCAGAATCATTTAGAACGCTCAAGAATAATTTAGAACTGTCTCTTCTAAACTTGAATAAACAGGACAAAGGCAATAATCGCTGAGAATCATTTAGAGACAACTACAAATACCGGAATTTTGACACTAACGATATGGCAACAACGCATTAACAATTTAACCGCCCTATGTAAAATTCCCCTAGTCAAATGGCAGAATTAACATTGACACTAGGGAAATGGTGAACTGCGTCAAAACTACTAAAAACGACGTCATTGTCATTTTAAAACGTGCGAACTTTGTTATTATTAATGTACCTTAACTTTATATTGCTTGTAGCAACTCTCACTTAATGTTCGGTCGCTTAATTGGGTATTCCACACGCAAGGCACCTCAAAAATAAGTTCCGGGTTTTCTTTGATTACAGTATTGATTATATCTTGATCAGCCAATCGAGTGGGCCCGTAATATAGGGCGGCTTTTTTAGCAATGTCTGACCACAGTTTGGGCCAGTTCAATTTTTTCAGAAGGTAATTGTTGTATAATAAAACACCGGAGTTAAATCTAAAATTATTAGTTAATTTTTTGAGCATATTTAGAATAAAAATTACTCACCCTCTACCAATAGCAGGCCATTTCTTTTCACCCAGGTAATAATCACTTTGATTTTCAACCATACCTATTGCCTAAAATAAATTAATGCATTTTTTTATTAGTTAACTAGAGGTAAATTATTTGAAAATACGTACTTGCTTTTCGTTAAATTTTCTAAACATTTTCCATAGCTCATAAATATCTGCTACAACAGTCATATCTGTATCCAAAACTATAATTCTATCGGTAACTTCCAATGGTATTATTTTAGGAAATATCAGTTTCAGCAAACCGTGAATGCCCGAATAATGGCTATTTGGTATCCACCTAACGTCAGGTACATATTTATTTAAATCGTAAAACGTTACATTAACTAAAAACACACAAATTTATCAATAATCCAGTACAATTAACAAATTTATTTACCTTGTGGAACATCCCAAGTTTCGAAGAGTACCTTAAGTATCTTCTCAGATACTTTGTTAGTAACGATATGAAATTGCAGCGGATTAATTCTATTAAAAAATATAGACTTAATTAACGTGTGAAACAACAAATTGGAATTGTATCCCGAACATATCACGCCAATATGGATGACTTCACACGGGTCATCTATTGGTACAGAATTTTTGGCTCCTGTCGATTGCAACTTGGAAAGTTGAACCCTCTCATTGTGTCTTTCTTTCCTTAACGTAGGAAATGAACTCGAAACTACAATTGACAATAAATGCTAACTTTCGATTTCTTGTTGGCAATAAAATAATAAAAATTAAACACACTCTTAGGCCGTATTTATAAAAAGAAGCATAACCTTTTGCTATTAACAAATAAAGCAATTGCTTCAAGGTATACACATAAAAAAAGTACAGGAAAAGGTTTTGCTTCAAGGACCCTGCTGTTACTTTAAAGCAGAAGTATTTATGTTTTCCGTACTTATAAAAAGAAGTATTCGCTTATAAAGAAAGGGATTTGCTCGTAAAAATTGTAGCTAGGTTCATAGCAACTTTTCACAAGCCTTTCAGTAGCTACTCAGCCATCACATAGCTTGTAATGTAAAATGTTTTTGTATTTCAGAATCATCTAGAACTGTCTTGAATCAATTAGAAATGATTAAAGCATTTAGAACGCTGCAGAATCATTTAGAACTGTCTAGATCAATCTAGAACGCTCCAGAATCATTTAGAATTGTTTAGAACCCTTTAGACTCGTTTGGACTAGTTGGACGATATCGCTAATATCTGTACCATTTACTTAATTTATCGGAATCGTTTCTTTGCAAGAAAAAAGCGTAGAATGTGAATATGGATCTGGGCAAAACCTTTTCCTCTTACCTTTTACTTCAAAGCCAATGCTATTTTTATAAATATGGAGTATTTAAAGATAAAGTATATAAAGATATGGGTTACAGATATAGATAAGTGTATAGTACTTATAGGAAATATAATTATATACTTACACGTATGTGCACTCGAAAATACGTTAATGAATAAAATTACCAGGATGGTAAATATGATCAAAATTAACCATTGTCTAGCCACTTTGCAAAACAGAACATTTTGTCGTTTTAGGCGAATTGTTAAGTTTAAAAAAACAGTACTTCACTTGGAAGGATCTCGAAGCGAACTCTCTGTTCGTTCACCCTACAAAAATAAACCTCTTTAAATTATCCTTTGTGTACTCGTTAAAAATAATTTCTCGAGTGAATGTAGAGGAATTGGAATGAACAATATTGTTTACTTACCGCATGTAATAATCAGTCGCTTACGATAACATTAAACAAGTAATAATGAAACAGAATGCACGAACGATTGTTATTTTATTGTTAAATATTCGCGACTTTCAATAATTGTAAACAAATACAACTATTTGCAAATAAAGACTAAACATAACCTTAGTTATTGACCTTGATGTAAGGTTTTTTTGGTCAGGTTTTAAAATATGACCTATTTTTTTTAAACGTGAATAAAAGTATTTGCTTTATACCAATTATTGAAATACCATATTTAATGCATTTATAAATGACTAATACATGAAAAATTCAAATAATAATTTACTTACAGGTAGCTAGTGTCATCAATAGTCCAAGTTAAATTCATCTCACTAATAAGAAGACGATAGTCATTTACAATTAAACGTCAATAATGTCAAATCTCAAAATCATTTTGACATGACTAAATATAAACAAGTCTTGTAAATAACAGTATTTTAGAGCGGTTAAATTATTTCTTCGTGTAAGTTAGTGATTAAATCCCCGATTAACAGTAAGTCAAACGTTATTAATTGATAATTCAAGTTGTTTTCTTTCGATACGTGATAAAATGGATGTGAAAATTGAGTCTAATGTGGAGGAAAAATCTTCTGAAACAACAATGGCTGCGAGCGAAGAGCAGGAACCGCTGGGATCCCTGACTTTAACCGATGTACCGGAATTAAAAGGGCAGCAGCTTAGATTAAGCGCTAGGGTGTTTAAAAAAATGAAATTAGACACGGCTCCTCTGGTTGTCCCAGAAAAAAACGAGAAGAAAGAAATCATAAAGCAGGACAAAAAGAAATGCTTGAGACAATTATGGTCTTCAGACGAGAAAGCGCTGTTTTTCGAAGCTCTAAATGAATATGGCAAGGATTTTGAAAGCATACAATTATACATTAGCAATAAATTCAGGAAAAAAGGTCTACCTGATCAATACATGAAGACAAAAGATCAAATTCGACACTTGTACTACAGGACTTGGACAAAGATTTCCAAATATTTGAAATTCGCCGATGTAATAAAAAAACCTACACAGGAGTTGTATGCTTTAATCAATTACGGGGAACTTAGGAAAAAGGTATGTACATAAATATTAAATTAACAACTAATTAAAAATATAAACCATTTCAAATGTTTAGGTGGGATCCGTTCATGAAAAGTACTTGCTGAAACTCAATAGATTAATATACAAAGGCTCCATAGTTTTATCTTTAAAGGGTAAAAAAATTCGCTTAAAAACGCCCTTCTGCAGAGCATTGAGAAAACTAAACCAATTAGATGAAAAATACGAGGAAATAAAACTACCTACTAGACTAACAGTTGAATTGAGACCAAAAGATATGACATCATTTTTGAGGGTTCAAAGTACAGCACAAAATCCTAGGTAAAACAAACAAACACAATAATCAAAATAAATAACTATATAACTGTTTATTTTAAAGGTTACAAACTTACATGCCCTTACAAAAGAGACTGAGCAGTCTGATTGAATGTTTGAGCAAAAAATGGCAGAGCGTCGAGGCTGAAATGTACGACAAAGCTTTAATATGTAATAACCCCGTTGTTAACACCTGTTTGCCCAGTGAAGAAGAAATTAAAGTCACCAAGGAAAAATTAAATTCACTTTTGAGGTAAATAAACAATTTTTTTAAGCAATACATAATAATAACATTGAATTTTTAGGTTGACACCTCCATTAAATTGCAAAATCGAAGTCCCTTCAATAAGCCTAGGAGAGTATTTCACAAGACAGAACATCTGCTTTAATTCACATGAAGCCCGCCTAGGGTTATCCAGCTACAATTCTTTCAGCAACTATACAGCCTGTAAACTATTGAACAAGGGTTCGAAGAAGGGCCATCGAAACAGGACAGACAGCGTTAGTGATAAATTAGAGAAATCTCAAAAGAGCAGCTCGCACAACGAGGATGAAATTTGTGATACAGTCGAAACTGAACCAGCAGGAGAATCTATTAAATTATCTATTAAAGAAGAAGCGAATCCTGTTACTAGCAGTATTAAAGAGAACGTGAAAGAAGGCGGACATAAAGAAGAAGGAGTGGGAAAAACGCCGGGTGTTAGTGGTAAACTGAACTTGGAGGAAATTCGCTTAGAAGAGATAAAGCAGCAGGAGGAAAGTAAAAATCGCTTCATTGTAAATGCTACTGCGGAATTAGAGAAGCAAGTAAGTGTATGCTCATAATAGGCCATATTTATAAAAGGAAGTATAACATATTGCTATTAAAGAATGAAGGAATTGCTTCAAGGTATATGCATAAAAGAAGTAAATGAAGAGGTTTTGTTTCGAGGACCCTGCTGTTGCTTTAAAGCAAAAGGTTTTGTGTTTTCCGTTTTCCGTTTTTATAAAATGAAGAATTTCCTAAAAAAGAAAAGTATTTGCTTGTAATAATGGAATCTAGATTCATAGCACCTTTTCAGAATATTTTCAGTAGTTTCTCAGCCACCACACACCTTGTAACATAAAATTTTAAACATTTTGTCTGTGATTTCACCAGTTTGTTATGACTGACAAGGTGCTCTAGAACCATTTAGAACGTTTCAGAATAATTTAGAACTGTCTAAAAGTCCAAAACGCTCCAAAATCATTTAGAACTATCCAGATCAATCTAGAACGTTCCAGAATCATTTAGCACTGTCTAGCCTAGATCAATCTAGAACGCTACAGTATCATTTAGAAGTGTCTAGAATCTTTAAGATGATTTAGAACTGTTTAGATACATTCAGAGCGCTGCAGAACAATTTAAAATCCTCTATAACCATTTAAAACGTCCAGAACTAGTTCGACGAAATCGCTAATCTCTGTACCATTTACTTAATTTATCCGAAGCGTTTCCTTGCAAGCAAAAATCGGAAAATATGAGTAAAACTATTTCCTTTTACCTTTTGCATCTACCTTATACTTCAAAGTAAATGCTTCATTTTTATGACTAATATGCTTGTTTAATAAGATAAATTGATTTTTTATTCGAATTATAGGAGCGCATCATGGCGATAAGAAAAGGCTGGACGGCCCAAGATTGCGAAAGCATCACGTTGGGCGAATTATATCTAATGTTTGGCCAAAATTCCAAGCTGATATTAGAATACACCTGGGATCCACCAAACATCACTCAACCGGACCCCGAGGTCAAAGACATAAAGACTGAAATTATCGACGATATTTTAAACATAACGTCACCTCTAACTCCATCGCCTAACTTAGATCTAGGCGAATCTCTGTCGAAGCTGCTCTCGATCGCGAAGTTGCACTACAGAAAGAACATGATAAAGTGTCCCTGCGGGCACGTGTGCGGCGCTAAAAACAACGCGCAATTGAAGAGAGACGTGGAAACTAAAATCAGAAAAATTCTATCGGACATCGACAAGTGCCCCGACGAAAACGAGGAGAAAATTAACAACGAAGGGCACGTGTACGATAGTCGCAACGGAGCTCGATTCGCGACCCCTTCCGTTTACCTACCGTCGAAAATACCAATTACACCGTACTTTCGAACTAACGACGTACATTTGGCTTCGCAAATAGCCTCGATACAGCGACTGACGCCGAGATATTGCAATAGAAGAGGTAATTTTTCACGTTTATACAGTATCCCAAAAAAAATTCCTTACACTAGTATTAATAATCATTAGCAGCTTTATTCATAGTCGTATTTAGTGGCTACTAACACACTACTAACATCACAATAAAAAAAAGGAATTCATAGTTCCATTTAGTGGCTACTAAGATGTTATTTTTGTTAGTAACCACTTAATTTCTTAGTGGCGTTACAAGGGGTGTTTAAGTTACTTTTAAACATAATTTAAAATAGTCAACAAACGTCTAGTGAGCGAAATCGAGCGTTCATTGCCTCTTTCCTGCCTTTTTACGGTGTTTTTACTACCCTTTTGCTAAGTATCTCATCGTTACTAATACTTCAATTTCAACTGGATTTCGTATTAATACATTTACTTCTTCAGCTTCTTACAAGCACCTTTCCATAAATATCTAACGGTTAACTACTACAGATATACTTTATTTCAAAAGCTGGTAGGGTAGGGTAGGGTAGGGTAGGGTAGGGTAGGGTAGGGTAGGGTAGGGTAGGGTAGGGTAGGGTAGGGTAGGGTAGGGTCCCAATACTTCAAAAAGACTCGCAAAGATGTTGAAAAGAACAGTTTTTAGTTTATTTAACTATTTTTGCGTTTTAAGAGAAAAAAGGATAAAATTGTTGTACTTTCAAATACCAATAGCTAGTTACCAAAGAGGTATAAACCGTTCAAACTTTGGTATCAAACGTACTTGGTCAAAGTGTATAATTGGCTAATAATCATGATTTTTGTTAAGTAACGGGTTTTGCCGTAAAGTTTTTTTGTTTTCCCAGAAGTAGGGTTCACTGGAATTTTATCCTTTTTCCCATCACCTATTCAATTGATCTCAGCAAGTGCGTCTGACACAATAACGTCAGTAACATAACCAAAATCTCCAATATAAATTAAAATTTTAAGTTATTTCAGTTGTTGCCACATTCATTTTTCTGCTAGCATTATTTTAACTAGTGGGAAAGAAATATGCGACTATGAATAGGAAACATTAGTGGTTTGTTAGTATGATGTTAGTGGCCACTAACTAGTGGTGTTTTAACATCATTTTAAGGAGGCGACTATGAATAAGGCTGGAATTATTTTTAAAACACAACTAGGAGCTCAACTTAATACTAATATACCGGCCATAACAATAAACTATTTAATATCTACAAAGTGAAGAAATTGATAAAATATTGCTGTACGAAAACTTATTTTGGCGATAAAGCAAACATTTTTCGAGTTTTATTATTTTACATTTCTAATAACAATATTAATTAATGCTTGCAAGAATAGTCTTTGAATGTAAATTTTAATTTGCTAGTTACTTCTTCGCGAACTTCCAGAACATAATGCAACTAACACTTTTTTGGTCTACTAAATTTTTTTGCTGACTTTCATTGCTTCGTAGGTCGTCGCCCGCGCTCCAAGCAAGTCGTCGTAGAGAGACAACTGCCCCTGCTTCCTAACAACGTCGAAAGCGGACACCAAATAGTCCGCATGAGCATAATTTCGAAAGAAGACCCGGCACCTTCGCCGTCTGCAACCGCAACCGAAACCTCCGCAGACAAACCATCCAACTCGAAATCTTTCGTATCCCAAGAAACGTCCACCGGCAATTTCATAGCGCAGCCCGACGAAGTCCTCAACGAGACCCTGCAAAGCGTCATGATCGATATAGAACCGTCGAGTCCTTCGAGGATTCTGAAGGAGGACGAACATTGGATCAACTCCGAGGTGGGGGATTACTCGCTGAGCAGCCTCTTGGGGCATTTGGAATCGCCCGTTAAATCCGATTCGAACACGATTAACGAGTACTCCAGATTGTCTCAGGACGTCGACGCTCAGTTGAGGTCGCTGATGACGCAGAACAGCGTGGATTTCTCCGCCAATTTCGCCGATCTCGCCGCCGAAGTGGCCAAAGACACTAAATGCGAATTGGGTTGAAACGCTACTTTTTTTATTGGTATTATGTGAATAATCCTTATAAATAGTTTACAATAAGGACTAATTATATTAGAAGCGTAAGTATGTATGTATGTATTTATTAGAAGTGTTACGGATAAAGCTAGATAAATGACTAAACCTAGGTTTACCCGGGTAAAGTGCGAAATAACCAAGAAACATGGGTAGGGTAGGGAAGGGTTTTTGGGTTTCTTGGGTTCCCGTTGTAGCACGAGAAACCTATCCTACCCACATTTCGCAATTTTCATGGGTAAACCTAGGTTTAGTCCTTTATTTAACTTTACCCCTAACAGAAGTTTCCTATTATTGGTGAACGTTAATCGACTTTATAATTTGTTTTACGATTATGTTGTGCATGTTACGGATAAAATTAAATAAACGACTAAACCTAGGTTTACCCGGGTAAAGTGCGAAATACTGAAGAAATATGGGTAGGATAGGGTAGGGTAGGGAAGGTTTTTTGGGTTTCTTGGGTTCCCGTTGTAGCACGAGAAACCTATCCTACCCACATTTCGCAATTTACCTGGGTAAACCTAGGTTTAGTCATTTATTTAACTTTACCCATAACAGAAGTTTCACATTGGTGAACGTTAATCGACTTATTTTTTTACGATTTTGTTGTATGTGTGTTACGGATAAAGCTACATAACCGACTAAACCTAGGTTTACCAGGGTAAACTGCGAATTACCCAAGGAACCTGGGTAGGTAGGGTAGGGTAAAAAACGTTCTTTGGGTTTCATGGGTTCCCGATATGCTACGAGAAACCTACCCTACTCTACCCTACTCGCATTTCAAACATTAACCCTGGTAAACCTACTAGGTTTAGTAGTTTATCTAACTTTACCCGTAACATGAATACACAAATCGGATACGTGTGATAAAATTTTCCAATTCTGTTTTGTTCGATATCGATGCAAAATAAATTTCGGTTTGAATGTTATCTGGTTTGTTTTCTCGTGAGTAAATAAAAATGTCGCGCAATAATTTATGAGGAATATATATTTTAACGAATCAATTATGTGTATGTGCTAAATCTATAAATGTCAGTAGAAGCATAATGGAAAATCCTAACAGTATTGCAAAATATTGCAACAGTCCGCTTTTCTTTTCGCCTTGCAGTATTTCGAAGAATATCACATACACCAACGTCCCGGACGCTAATCCTTGCAGGATAACACTGATCGTGGCCGTCGATTGCCTAAAATTGCACACTAAAATGCCCACACCTATTCCTAAAGGACTAACGATGGCGAATATAAAGGCGTAGATGATTATAACCCAAGTTTTCAATTTCGAACTAACTAATTCTATACCTATACAAAACGCTATAACCTGCTTATGAGCATTTATAGCTCCGAACATGTACCAAACGGACTTGGGGGACGTTTCGAGGCCCACAGCTAAACCTTCGAACAATTCGTGTATCGAAAGGGCCAGGACTACCAACAACCCTCGAATAATAGCTATGGTATTCGAAGTATCGAAGGATGCTCCGTGAGAATGCCCTTCTTGGTTGCTGTGCATCGCATCCTGCTTCAACATCGTCTCGAGATGTTCCCCTCGGCGTATGCGCAGGCTCGTCCTGAGCAGCAGGTGCTCTTCCCTGTAATGCAAATAGCTGTGGACGCACTCCTCGATTAAATACATGGCGAAGAAGCCGGTGCACAGCAGAATCTCGGCCAGTCTTTTGCTAATGTAAGCGGATATGTGGTTGCCTTCGATTTTAGTCTTCACTTCGGGCAGCAGATGTATGAAAGTCATGCACAGCAGGATTCCACCACCCATACCTAATAAAAATTTCACGAACACACTGTGTTTGGCTTCGCTGGTCCAATCGAACCATTTGTTCAGTTTAATCGGTAGAATGCCGATGAGGAAGGATATCACGAATAGGATGCTCATGGCCAACACTTTGGCCAAAGTGGTGTCGTTATTGTAGCAGGATTCATAACTTTTATGGTCGTGGTGGTGGTCATCAGACGAATTAGCGTAGCAGGGTATTCTTAATGGATTAGTTTTTCTGGAAGTGGAGGAAAATTATTATTAACGACGAACATGATGAAATAGATTCGTTACTTCAGCAGGAGTGGTTGTAATTTACCTTTTAGAAGATAACTTTAGGCCTAAAGCCCAAAACAGCTTTAAAAACAGCCAAATTTTTGTGATTTCTATTGTATACAATTTTGAAATATAAATTTTCTATTATTTGTCAATGTTATCAAACTTGCAGTACTGCCAACTTTTTTCGTTTTTAAATAAAAAACTGCTTATAAAAAAATTAACATATATATTTACTACAAACTCTATTAACATTACAATTTAAAAAAATCTTATTCCATAGAATACTGCCCAAGATTACGCGACTATTCCTCTTCATACAAAAATATTAATTATCCCCCAATAAATCCGGCAAACTCAAACAAAACATGATTGCGAATCCCAAAATAATAGCAAAAAACTGTTTAATACCCTTCCTTTTTTCACCCTGAAGTATTTCAAAGAACACAACGTACATCAGGGTTCCAGTTGCCAAACCTTGCAATATCACAGAAACCAAATTAGTGAATGAATCCGAATTGTTGCTGATTATAATTCCTGTTCCTATGCCTATGGGATTAACAATGGCGAACAAGAACATGTACATCACTATATAAATTGTTTTTAAACCCGATGTAACTAGTTCTATACCAATGCAAAAGGCTATGACTAGTTTGTGGGCGCTAACCGCCCCAAACATGTACCAAACATTACTGGGCGATGATTCTAAACCAATGGCGAGTCCTTCGAATAATTCATGCACTGAAATACCCAGTACCACCAATAGCCCTCGGATTATAGCAATAAAAGAACCGTTAGGTTGTATAGCAACGTGGGAATGCCCTTCATTGCCATGTTTATGGGCCATCATTTCCTCTTTTAGTGCGTTTATCTCGGCTTGGTCTTCGCCTCTGCGTATGGACAAACTGCGTTTGATCACATCCAAATCGGGCCCGGAACTTCGACTACTTTCCTCTTTCGACGGTTCCCTTTCCTTGTATTTCAGGTACATATGAACGCATTCCTCCACGAAGTACATTGTAAAGAAACCTATGCACATCAAAATTTCTGCGTAATGCATATTGGGAGTTATGTCGAATTGCTCGAAACTTTCGTTCACTTCTGGCAACATGTGGATGAATGTGGTGCAAAGCAGCACACCTCCGCCTATTCCCAGCAGGAATTTAACAAGGCCGTGCTGGTTTGCGTCCGATTCCCAGTGGAACCATGTGTTTAATTTAATCGGTAGGGCGCCTACTACAAACGAAGCTGTAACCAGTACAACCATGGCTGTAATTTTGGCCACTGTTGGGCTACCTTCTTCTCCATCTTTGCTGTGTTCTTCGTGGATTAAATGATGCAAAGCGTGCATTTTTCTGAAATAAAATGTAAGATTTAATTACTAATAAATGTATTAAAGTTATGATTATTATACCTAGGTGCTTTTGGATATCAAGGGATCACTGTTTTGTATACAAATAATCTAGTAACAGCTTATATGATTTAATTAAAAAAAATAGGTAGATAACAGGAGAACACCAAAACTTACATTAATATTTAATACTCGATTATTTTGTTAGTAAAGATTAAATATTACATATCATCTCTTTATTGTAAAAAATCAGTTTAGCATTAAACTGCATAATCATTGACCGCGCAAACTAGAAATTTGGTTAAAATAAAAAATTAGTAGTCAATTATTATCGTATAATCTCGATGAATTGAATATTTTTATCTAATGGAATCTCGCATGTAAATCCATCGTATCTACATTTTTATCACAATCAAAGAATTCGCCGAATTTATGATTGATTCATATTCCTCTATTAGGTACCGTTTAAATTTTTCAATACGTGATTTTCTTATTAAAATGGATAAAATATATTAATAACGCATTAATAATAACAAATATATTATAAAAAAGTATTATTTTAAACAATCAAATAAAAAAAGTAAAATTTTAAACTACTCATTATTTTATTACATTACTTTTTTTACCTGTTTTTTAAAAGATGACCCAATCACATTGATCACTGTAACTAATTAACATCAAGACAATGCATTGACATCTACAAATAGACAGAAAAGATACACATGTGAAGGAGCCTAACTACAACAACCGTCTACGGCATATCTGTTTGAAATCCCCGTATTTTAATTCACTTAGATAACAATAAGTAGACATTTAATTATTGATTGTCATAGGTACTTGTTTCTGCCAAATCTGATTAGATTTCAAAGAAAAGTTCTTTAGTAAATTAACACATATCTAATGCTATCGAAATGCTTTGAAGGCATCACCCGCATTTCACATTTCATCTACCTCTATAAATGAATCTGTTAATTTGTTCTTTATATAATCCTAATAATTATAATGAATAGAGTAAGTGCGCCAAATATGGACCGGTCTTATAATATGGATCACTGCCATTTTAAAAAGAACGTTTTTTATATCGAGTCAATGATCATCACACACTTAGCAACACTCCCCCCTTGACCCATCTATCGCTTGCAGTGATCCAGGATGCACGCATATATTTACGGCAGCCTTTTTTAGTTTTCTGCAATGCGCAATCTAATTTTCTAGCGAACTGTGGAAGTTCTTTAATCCAAAAAAATACTATTTTAAGTGAAAGTGGATAAGACCACCAGGAAGGTGAGTCTATATTTATTTAAATAACTGTTAAAAAAGTTATTACTTACCTGGCATAGAAGAAAAGTTATACAAGATAGTACAGTTAAATTATATGTATCTTTTCTTACACAGATACTATATTTATAGCAATTTTTCTTACCTCATCAGATAACAGTCAGATACATATGATATAGATATTTGAACAGATTTATTTTTATAGATACTAAGGTATTAGAATTTTCGCTTTGAACAATTGTATCTGATGATGAAATATATGATTTGTTTGTTAAAATTCTCACTTAGTTTTTATAAAAGTTTATGGATTTATTTTGCGAATATAATGGTCTTATTTGCTTTATATTGCAATTGTAATTATTGAAGAAATCATTTGTGTATTCAATGTACAAAAGATATACCTACATTTCCCTAAGTGTATAATATAGCATTCTACAAATAATTTACAGCAATCAGATTTTTAAAATTAATATTTACTCAATTTACTCATCACAATGTTTGCGAAACTTGGAAATTGAACTTGAGTTCATAACAAAGAAAAACACTTTACCGCTGTAATTAGTCGTACTAATTATATTTAATTTTTGCAAAGATTCTACTGTAATCAATACAAGAATCAATAATATGAAATCATTTTTATCTGTTTCATTCAGTTACAATCTAAATCCTAATATAATAGCAAAATATTACGTTTCTCTGGCTTTCTTTGTTAATTCTTTAATTAATGTTAAACAAATTCTTAAAGTAAGTACTTTACTTATATTTGTTTATTATTATAATTTAATTATAGAAGAACCTCCATGTTTGCCTACTCGTTTTTCATTCAAGGTAAAGGAATACAAAATGCATGTAAACATATACGACTAACTGTATTTCTTAACAATATTTATCACAATATAATTTATTTACAAGTTTTTTAAACTAATATTTACTCGATCACAATGTTCGACACATATGTACATACAAATTCAACGTGAGATTATAAAATTACGCTACCATTGTTATTAGAATAGGTACCTATAAATTTTCGATTAATTTTTGCAAATATTCTATTGCGAACAATAGAAAATACAAAAATCAATGACATGTTTCTTTTATGGAAGTTTCTTACAGCACGATGTGGAGAAATATGTCACTGGTTTTATTGCAATGTGTAAGTACTACGTAATTTAACCTTTATATCCTCTTTATCGGTCATTGTAGAGCAACAAAGAAGGCAAATTTACATAGCTTCTACTTCTCGCATTGTTTAAATTATCATAACACATCAAACGCGAGTGAGACATAATTAAAACAGGATATTTTTTGCAAAGTTCAATCATAAAATTATCTAAATTGGTAGCGGAGACATTCGTTCTTCTATGTGATGATGAACCTCTCGGTGATGGTGCGCATGATGTTCGTGGTCGTGATCATGACCGACTGCAATAAAAAAAATAAGTAAAAAATTAGGGTCATTACGTGAAAGATTCGAGAAATTCGTTGAAAAATTATGCATAATCGTTTTGCCTATAAAACTTTCTAGTTCGAATGTTCGAATTATTTAAATGTTACAAGATGATGCGCTATTTTCGTATTTTTTTGAATGAGTGTTTGAATTAACAACAATATTTTATTAATGTATGCTTTCTTTGCAATGACCATTGTTGGTCATCGTCATCGGATATTTACCTCATAATATTTTTTTAATTTTACTAAATGTGTCAATATCCGATATTGCAGCGACAAAGGTGTTTCGAAACACCTGCAATAAATTATTTCTTTAGTGTTGTTGTCGTCTAAAAATGTATTCTTCTAACGAGTTTATCTTCTTAGATAAAAGAGCATCGAATACAACTTAAATAATCAATTGACATTAATTTTTAAAAAGTGGGACGCTACAATTTTCTAATTTTTTTAATTAGTTCTAATTAGATATCGAATCCTTGGTTTCTAAACAATCGCCTTAATAGCTTAATCAACTAATTTGTATCCGGATATTGGTTTCTAAGTAAAACATAAAAACGGGAAAACCGTGTTCAAATGATGACAGGCAATTAATTCTTCGTAGTGAAATAAACATTTTCTAATTTATTTGCGCCATATGAAATAATATCTATTAAAAAATTGTTACACCGGTTGATGACATAACAGATGAAATCGCTTGTTTATTTTAAATTACGGGTATTATAAAATTATTAAATTATTAACCGCACAAACTCCACTAATAGATAATTGAATAAAATTTCAAAAAGCGAGATACTGATTTGTTGTTTAACTTATCATACTATTAAATATAAACAAAGTAATGTTATTTTGACCTTATACAATGTATATTAAAATATTAATAAAAAATCTCTTTGTGTGCAAAAAATACCTAATCGACGTTTAAATATTTTCGTACCAAATAGATACTTAGATTCAAAAACACGAAAAAATTTAGAAAATATCTGCGTGAGCAAACGATTAATGTTGGAATCTTCGGTGAACATTAAATTACGTAAATTTAATATCTCACATAATTAATTTGCTTATATCCTGTGCGATAGTATCGAATTAAGCAACTTCTTTGAAGCAATGCCTTTATCGTTTTACAATTTATTGTACGGTTATTGTTCAGCGAAATATTTCCCAATAGTGACATTTTCTTCAACTCCGCTAATTTACAACTCGCAAGGCTCTACATAACTATACAGCAAAAGTTCAAGGCGCATGCTAAAATTTTCTGTGAATCCCATATATTTAATTTGAAACGCATCAATAATTTCTCACAAATATTTAAATCGTTATTTATCTCGCCTTTATTCACCGTGATTACAGCTAGGCGACCTTAAAAATTTTTTTGTGGCCGTTCGAGTGATCGATTTTATCGGCTCGTTCGCAGCTTTCAGTAATTATAACAAAATTCCAAGGTCAATCTACAATCTCTTTTTACTCTTTGTAACAGTAAATGGGAAAGTACATAATAGTACGTGAATATCGAAAAGTTAAATACTCAATTGCATATTGTTAGCTTTTGAACACCTGCTCGTTAATTTTGACGATAAATCTTATGCGAAGACAACGTAATTATACTTACTTATAATTTGAAGTACAAACATGCACCCGAATCCAGCGCAAATAGACATCAACTGCCAAAAACCGCTATGGCTGTTTTTCTTTTCTCTGGCGAGGACTTCGAAAAATACCACGTATAACAACGTTCCCGCCGCCATTCCTTGAAGTACCACCGACGTTATATCTTCAGCGCTATCTTTCTCGCTAACGATAATCCCAGCACCAATACCTAAAATGTTAAAATTTAATTCCAAAATTACCAATTCTCAGTTTTACACCTACCTAAAGGAGTAACAACAGCGAAGGTCCCAATGTAGAGCATAACCAGCAGAGTTCTAGTCTTGGAAGTGACCAATTCCAGCCCGACACAGAAGCCTATAACGAATTTATGTGTTGCTATAGCTGCGAAAAGGTACCACACCTTCTCCACGCTGCTCTCCAACCCCACGGCGAGGCCTTCAAATACCGCGTGAAAACTGAGGGCGAGGACCACCAGGAAGCCCCCGAAGGAATGCTTGATGGACTCGTCGATGTGGTGGTGATTGTGATCATGCGATTGTTTCTCGAAATTAACTGTAGTTTGTGAATTCAGTAGTTCCTTGTTTGAAGTGCTGATGCAACTGATGTTGCCGTCGTCTAGTTTTATCAAAGAAACCCTGGGGATTGTGAGCTCCTGTTTGGAGCATTTTCTAACCGACAGCGATCGATGTAATACTTCGTTGTTGTGCCTTTTGTCTAAAAATATGTGGACCACTTCTTCTATTAGGTAGACGAAGAAGAAGCCCAAGCAGAATACTAATTCTGATAGGGGAATACCCGGTCCAACGGTAGATTTTACCCCACTTTTTTCTAAATGTTCGAACCCTTGTCTAACTTCTGGTTGAAGATGGAGGAATGTAGTGAATAATAGCACACCGCCGCCGAAACACAACAACAGGGATATCGTCAAGTTTTTATCACCGTCTACCGATTTTATAGATATAAATTTGGTTAATTTTATCGGTAAAATGCCTAATATAAACGAAGTAAATCCTAAAACTAGCATAGCCACGATTTTGGCTAATATTAAGTCACTATATTTATCGCTTTCTGTTGTATTATCCATTTTAATCTGCTATATTTTGGCGCCTTCAGTAAATTGATTGCATGGACTGTAACAAAAAAATTATTTCAGTTATTATGCATAAAATCTCTTAATTAGGTGATTAATTTGTATTTGTTGTTTAGATTTATTTGACCCTGATGCGTGAGAATCGGGAAAAAAACTAATTTGCTTCGCTTTAATCTTTTGTTAATCTATTATAATTTAAATCGTATTGTTGTACATGTACTGCGTGTAATGTTTGAGTTTAAAATTAATTTTTAAATAACTATCATCAGAGAATAAGAATTTAGAGAGTTTAAATTGCAAACATATCGATTACATTCAACAGTTTGTATACGTATAAATTGGAAACTTGTGACTTTCATAAATATTATTCGTTTCCAATTGACACCTATCCATTTATATTTTTCGGTTAGTGTTAATTAAAAGTTAAAAACATTCGATTCGAATAATTTTTGAACTCGCCCATATTTTGTCGGAAGGATTAGCAATCGATAGGAATATTCGCTCGCTCAATTACATGATTTGTATAAAATTAGAAACCCTGCAGTGCAGGTACCAACTTGTAACACGATCATCAATCTAAATTTGGATTTACCCTTCTGAACTTGAAATCAAAGAAATTACTCTAAATGATCAATAATAATGTTTTAATGATCCCACACATATCTGAGAGAAGATAATATTAGTAATTAGTTGTTACTTAGCAACAATAAAAATAGCTCGATTGAAACAAAATATTTTATTTTTTTAAACAAATAACGACCCTTACTTGAAAGTAAGTATAAAATACGCAAATGTACAAAGCACTTACTTAAACGTTTTACCACAGCCACGAAATACACCCAATTAAAAAGGAATAGTTACTTTTTTAAGTATAAACAATTTTTGTGATAATTATTATGACTATTGATAGCGATATAATTATCCTTAACGATTCCGCACAAAACTAAAAACACTTTAGTTAATTCTATATCAAGACGTAATTGAACGATAAAAATCGTTAACCATGGAACATTTAAAATATTCTAGGTAATTGTTTCTATAGGAAAATTTGAAGACTTTTCGATTAAAAATGTTATATATTTATTTAAGTGAAATTGAAGGAATTTACGTTTACTTCGTGAGTTCTTAATACAATTTAAATAGTATCACTTCACACATTATACTATTTTGTTATTGTGGTAGGCAGACCAATCTTTCGAATTTTTAACGATAACCTTGTAGAGAATCGAAGAGAACGAATTACCTTGCTCGCTTAAATCCACTCTCGAAAAGGTAACCACAAATTATACTCAACATATTGCGCAATAATTATTTAACACTCGACTTGCACGAAGAAAAGAATTTGACCTTTTCTGACAACCGAAAAAAGAAACCCATCCCAGTTGAAAAGTTGGTGTACCTACCTATACATTCAAACGATATTTCGAAATCTGTACGTTCTTTTCATTATCCTTTAAAATGTTCTTTCAATTTTCGGAAAAATTGCTTGTATTAACGATAATAGAAAATTTGTGTTATAAGCATCATCAATTTTGTTCTCCGAAATGACTTTGTAAAATACATTGTATTTAAATGAGGTTTATACTACCTACATTTTTAATAAATTTATCGTCCTTAGTTTAACATTATCTACTATCTTTGTTTTGATTTATTTATTATTTATTATTCGTATGAATATTATTTCAAGGGTATCACATCATTAAATTCGATTTATGTGAAATGATCTAGACGTGGATTAAAGGATGCATTATGTTATTTTTTCAATAATTTTCACTATACGGAATAATAATACAGGAAATCGTAAATATTATCGATATTATGAACGTGGGAATTTAATGCAATTTAATAAACAAAATACATGCGTAAATATTATTTTGAAGTCGACAAACTCAAAATTCCAAAAATGTTTATCGCGGTTTTTTAATACCAAATTTAGTGATTAATCTATTTTTAAGTCCTGCGAATTTATGTAACGTCCCTATATATCGTTTTAATTTTATTAAAATTTCAACTCAAACATTTTATAGTTCACATTTCGTTATGCGTTTTACTCGCATTACAGCAGGGTAATTTACTAATTTAAGTGTGTAATGTGCGGTAAAACAAATAATGAACGTGCGTGGGTCGAGCATGATGTTTTCTTTAGTCAACGCAACGCCAGAACAACGCGAAAACTATCCAGTAAATTTACGTTAGAAAAAAGCAAAAAAATCCTTACATCTTTATACCGTATATTCCAATGAAAAACCAACCACTTCAAACAAATTTAATGGCTCGAAAACCGGGTGAAATTTCTCACCGCATTCTTCACGTGAACATTTCTCATTTCAAAACTGGCGGTTATACGAATACGGTCTCGGGCACGGACACCAGTCACTGTCGCCCGTTCCGTTTTGAGCGGTGAATCTGAATCTGAAAGCGACTCGCTCGACTCGACTCGATCGGAGAGCCATTCAAGACTTTTCGCCGGTTATTCAACACGAGAGCGGTCGACAAAGGCGGAATCGCCAGCGGCGCAACCGCCGCTAAACCGATCTCTCTCCAGCGATATTTGAAAATGGAGCAGGCCTTACTCTAAAATTAGCTTAGCAGCTCGCTCTTCTGGATCTTCTCAGGCTCTTTTGACCTTGGGTTTCTTAATCTCAAGAGGATTGCGTTGTTAAGAAATAGTAAAGTTACGATTCTACCTATCTAATCAATTCAAGAATATCTTTGCCATCATCTTTCCCAATAAAAAAAGCTAGAATTGTATGGAAACTCTACCATTTTTGCAGTGAAAAACGAAACGAGCTTTCTATTGGACATTGTATATCACACATTTATTACCTTCTATGTAGAATTTGCCATTATTTTGCAGTCGACCCACGTAGCATCGACAATCGAATAGAAAGTAAGCGCGAATTTACCTTTGAAAAAGTAATTTACACCGATCGTAGGTCACTGACATCCAAGAACAACACCCTAAACGAAAAAAAAAATTTAATACATTCACACCTACTTGCATAATTCAAAAGCCTTTTGCGTAATAATCGCTAATTAGTTTAATTGGAGCGTTTAAGTCGAGATGAAGTGAACGCGTTGAAGAGAATCTGGTGAAAGAAACGTTCCAAATGTTTTTAAAAATCTAGTAAATTCACCCTTCTAGCTATTTTATACGGTAGAGATTAGATCTTTTACTATCTAACTCTAACAATAATTATAATTAATTGGAAATAGTAGTGTACTTACTTGCGATAATCAAAAAGCCGCACCGCAAAGTAAATGGTAATGTACCATTGCACAGGTGTGTTTTATTCGGTGCGAAACATCTAACTGGGAAAGCTGCTGGTTGGGAATTACCCAAATGATTGTAAAAAACAAACATTTAACCGCATCGGGAACGTGATTCTTGTTGGTAATAAACGATTCGTGAAACGGTGCTTAATTCGCATCAGTTAAGAAAATATCTGTGTCTCTGGCGCATTCTTGTGGATCTACATGTTAAAACTATATCTATTTAATTAGCAATGTACTGGTGATACTATTTGTGCGTGGTTCACGTGCTATTAATTACCACTTGTTATCTAATTAATTTGATTTTTTTAAATCAAATTTTGTTTGTATGCAATAAGAATTACAATTGTTTCAATTTCGTCTCGCTGTTGAATCATCAATTTATTAAATATCGCCTAGAAACTTAGCAATGTATCGTAAGTGTTTACGTGTTTTTACGCGAAATAATTTAGGAAAATACTGATATCACTTTTTCGATAAAAAATCACCTTTGTCGATCGAATTTCTTGAATTAAATAAATGCCTCAAATGACGAACATGCCAGTATCCAAAAATTTGTCGCTGATTTTTAGAAATGAGTAACTGAATTTTTTTCGAGAAAAATATACAATATAAAATCTTTCATTCAAGAGTCATTTTACAAAAAGTGACTCCAATGTATTTGCTGAGGTTTTCAGCTGTTTGTTTAGCAAACTGCTCAGGAATTCCTGCAGGAACAGATTAGAGTATACTTCAATCTTGTACTACTTTTAGAATAACAATAAGTATTTTTCAAATATGTTAAAAATATACTCTTGCAGGAAATGTGCAGGAGTAGGTGTTCTGTGTACACGAGCAATACATCAGGAACACAGGAACATTTCTACAGGCACCAGGCACATATGTTCTGTGTTTTGATAACACTCACGACATCTATTAGTAGAAATACGAATCATAACAAGATTTAAAGAGAAATTTGTACTCATACATTTCGACTTACTTTACTCGATTATATTTTCAGTTAAATTAATTAAAAAATATATAATATGCTTCAAAAGCTTTATTCAGTTGAAACAAAATTAACAGTGTGCTGCAATCTCCTGCAGCCAATATTTCAGCAAGTATTTTTGTAAAATCCGAAATTGGCAATATTTGTGACAAAAATACAAACATCCAATGTCGGTTTGCTTCTTAGTTTGCCTAGAGAAATATCACAAGTTAAAAAAAATCATGTTTATATACAGTACAATATAAGTATCGGTATGATTTATTGCTAATTATATAAATTCTATCGTAATCATAAGTACATGTATAATTCTGCTATGGTGTTTTATAAAATAGTATTAATGGCGAATTTCTTGAATGATCTGCTAACATTCTAAATGTAAATTACTCTTTAATAATATAAACTTTCGAAACAAAAATTTTTAAGAAAAATTAAAATAGAAGGTTTCGGTTATTTGTTACAAAACTTGAATGGAAAAAGGTAGCTATTGAAAAAGAAGCTTGATCGATGAGAATAAATTTTGTGATCTTGGTGTTTCTATCCGAGTAATTTCTTTACTGAATTTTACCTTAGGAAAAAAGTTTAACTTTTTTTTGAAATCATATTTCCATTTATAATTTTTTATAAACTGTTAATTAATATTTAACATTGTAAATATACTAAATCTGCTTTATGGAGTATTGCACTGGGTGAAAATTAATAAAAAAAACAGATTCCCATATAGTAGAATTTTAATTTTCTCATTTAAATATAAACTACTATGACAGTTGTTTAGATTTAGTGAACTATATAAAAAGTACCTTCAATCAGTTTTATTAATTCTCACTCGGCACAATAAAAAATCTAATTTTCATAATACTCGTATAATATCTGTAAACTCTGAACTGTACAAATAATACATATGTCTTTATAAACTTTTGCAGATAAATTCATAAACTGGATTACTTTTTAACGAACTATAAATAGAAGGCTATCAGCCTAAATGTTATACCAAAAGTTAAACATCAAATTTCACATAATACTTTTGTATCATCAAAAACTTGTAAATAATTTATTAATAATTTTAGTAACACAGGTAGGTATGTGAATTAAATAATATGCACTTGTTACAGTTGTATGTTTTCGATTTTTTTTACCCACCTAAATAATTCAGTCTATTGGAATTCAAGGTTTAACTCTTGTTAATCATTTACGAGTACAATGCATAATATCAAATTGCGGTATAACGATCGGTGATAGATATTCATGGGGCGCTATAAATTTGGTGATTTGATTCTAGTCGAAGCTGTTTTCAAGAAATTCAGGGCGTAACTAAGCGTATTTCTTGAAAATATGTTTGGTATACCCCAGCTTTTGTACTTTCTACCTTAGATTCGAAATAGATTATATTTACATGTTGTAATTAATTATTTTGTTTTTCTATAATCTCACTCGAGGCTGGTTTAGAATTTAAGAGATGAGTGGGAAAGTGAGGTCCCAACTAGATGGTTATTTCAAATAAAGTAAAGATTATGTAATTATAATAAGAAGGAAGTTGTTTTAATTAAGGGTTAATTAGATTAAACAAGTCAAATATTTTTCTTAGTATGAAAAAACTCTAAAAATCAACATTATTTACAATATAATGTTCACAGTACATGATTATTTACATCAGTCTTCTGTAGTAAAATAATCAAAAAATTTTATTAAATTTTTCATAAAACAAAATCCAATCAGTTGAATCCCTCACTTTTCCATTTTATTAAATGTATTGAAAACAAAAGATTATTTGCATTTTGATTTTATTTCTATGATAGAGAGAAAATGAAATTTGTTTTATTGCTGGTTTCATTATTACAGTTCCGCTAAAAATAATTGTTTTTTTTTCTATCAAATTTCAGTTTTTTATACTCTCTATTTCAAAACCACTTATACTTACATTTTATTGATATAATATGTACATTCTTTTTTGAATTGATTTTGACCATTCGAGTACTGTTAAGTGATTAAGTAATAGAGGAACAAAATAAGTTAATCGAATAATCTATATGTAATGGTTTTCATTGAATTTTTACGTAAGAAAGGGCATTATTTGTATTTGAATACATCGTAGCTCCTACTATTTACACCCGCATTCGAAATCGAACTTTATTTGCACTGCCTATGTTTTGCTCCTCAACACCAATAAGAACACTTGATTTCAATGATAGGATTCAACGAAACGACTCAATCAAGTAGTTGATTAATTGCCATTTGATTTATTTCTAACAAGTTCCCTACTACTATCAAACTTTTTTTGATTGTATTCTGTATTAATTAGCATGTAAATTGTACTGTTCATTTGAATCGTTTCGATTGGAATCCTCGTAAAAATTCTAACAGCTCGAATTGTACTGCGTTAGTTCAACGGTAACATAATGACGAGGAGTAACTACTAATTGAAAACGTACGAAAAGGCCGACTCTATTATTACACAGCTCCAATGAAATATACCCTAAAGTGTTGCTAACGTTAAAGAAAGTCCTTTGGTTTCCGAGAGGACGGCGTTTGTACGGGTTCCTCCAGCATTTTCGTCGTTTCTGTGGGACTGTTTGCCGCGCTATCCGGCGACATTGCCTTGCAGCTAGAAGATGATGGTACCTAAAAAACCATTACAATCCATTAAGAAAACCCACAAACACCTCCATAAGAAAGACAGAAGTGCATTGCACATTTCTACCAACACGAAAGAAGATGTTTGTAGTTAGTGTAAGAAAAAAGTGGAGTAAAAATGAGTGTAAAACCTGAGGAGCGGAGGCCTTGATTCGCGTTTTGGATCTTCGTTTTTTGAGTATGACGGAGCCGAGACCGGTGCCCTCCGGGGTTTTGGGCAGGAGGTCGGTGGGCCGTTCGGGCGGCGAATTGGAAGACTTTTTGGACTCGGTGTCGTTGGGCGATTGGGAACTCGAGCCGCTGTCCGTTCCCAAGCGTTTCAGGATCTCCGAGATCATCTCTTCTATTCGATTGACTTTCTGGTTGACCTTCTGGATTTCCAGTTTGACGTCTACCTAGCGAAAAATACGAGCCTTTTAAGAGCGAACCTCGACTTTCCGGAACTTTGCCGGGGAAATCAGCGAAATTGCCTTGCGAGGAAGTAGTTGCATTTTGGAATTGGATTTATATTCGCTCGTAGAACGCGTTAATTTCTTCTCATTATCAGAATTGATGAATGCATAATTAAATTAGGAAAGGAAGTTCGTGAAAAACTAATAAATTATAGTGGAAAACGTTTGTTTTTCGCTCGGGATTTTCGTCACTTTTTTACGACCGAATTCGAATCGAATCAGTCCGTGATTTCTGATACAAACAAAACTTTATGTAAATTACGATCGATTGATAGAAGAGCGTCGCTTATGAAAAACTTTGGGCAAGCTTCCAATCGGTCACATTTTGCTTTGCAAGGTATTTACTAGCATGTATTTCATTTCAATTCAAATCAAACGTTTCGTCAGCGATATCCAATCACTTACTTTAAAATCCATAAGGTTAGTCATCAGTTCCTTATATTCTACTGGAGCAATAGCATCCGGGACGGCTGTTTGATACATTGAGGCAGTCGATGGATCTCTCAATCCGCAATCGTAGCTTTGCATCTTCCTGAGCGACAGATTCCTGGAGTGCGGCAGATCGACTTCGCCTATTTCGTCTATGGTATCCTGTCTGGTGATACCCGGACTGGAAGCGGCCGACACCTTCTGCAGCTTCGGGAAAATCTTGTTGCCAGATCCGGGCGTCGGCTGGCTGCAGGAGCTGCCCGACGAAGAGGAACTCGGACGTTCCTTGGGATCCTTGGCGCTGAGGCTTCGGGTGAAAGCTTGCGGAGCCGGCGAAGTTTCCGAGCCCGAGTCCAAACTCGCCGAACCCAGGAGCCTTCCCCATTTACTAGGCCTCGCTAAATTATAGTAATGTTATAAGTATTATAAGGATTGTGGAGTTGTTAGTATACCTGTGGATGGTCTGGCTACAGTGGTTTTTACACCGCCCCCGCTGCTATCATCTTTCTCGGCTACAGCAGATAGTTTTGTAGTTGACATTACCCTGGACATGTTTTTATCGTTAGCTTCATCCCCTTTTTCCACGTCGGACGGGGTGATTGGAGAGGCTACGACGTGCTGGCTCCTATCCCTTCGAAACTTCGAGAAAATCTTCCTAACTAAGTGATCTTGGTTCTGGTCTAATTGGGGTTCGTTTTTCCGGCGCTCGGCCAATTCCTGCTCGCGCTTCACGTCGGCCACTTTGCGGAATATCAAACGATGCCTTAGGTTGTAGGTGAGGATGAGATTTCGCGCGAAACTATTAGCGAAAGCTTGATAGAAATCTAACACTTCTAGTAATTTGTCCCTTTTTATGGTATGTAGATCACAGTAAGTTAAAGCACGGACGTTCGCCGCCGACTGGCCGACTGCGTTGTCTTTCCAAAAGGAATCGCCGAATACATCACCCTTACCTGCGAAAAAGTAGTTATAAATTCTACTCGCGTCCCCAACACGAACTCCAAAGAGATTACCTAATATAGCGACAACTTCGTCATCTTGTATGACTTCCAAGGATCCCGTAACTATGAAGCACAGGGAATCGATGGACTCGCCTGTGTGATAGAGTAGATCGCCTGGAGCCGAATGAGACATCGTAAAATGCATAGCCAACGCCCTGAGACAACCGTCTGACGCCAAACGAAACGCCGGGTGCTCGTTGAAGACCTTTCTGTTCAGATGAACGCAGATATCCGCCTTCATATCTTTCGGACAAAAATTTAAAACCTAAAAAATAACACCTTGTGAGCTGACGTTCTCGCGCGAATTTCCCATTAATATCCGCACAAACAATCGCGGCCGAGCGCGCTTTGTTTGTAAAGTTCTAGCTGGATTTACTGCAATGACTAACCTTGTCCTGGTCTAATCCTTTAGTCATGGCCCACGTCGAGACCACGTAATCCATCACCCGTTCGGATAGGGCTTTCGGAACTTCGTGGAGTTTCATGAACTCCCGCACGTTGTTCAGCATATCGTGATATTTGGCCGTAGCAGATGTCATCTGTTGAATTATGGTAGTCACGTGACCGAATATCGTCGCGTACAATAAAGCTGGAATGGTAAAATAAAGTAAAAATCGATGGGGATTTGGTCGACTGATTTGCATAGATAATTTTTTTTGTCTTATTGTCTTTCTATATTTTAACCTCCCCTCATAGGTGTCATGACCCTTTGGAATTACTCGATGTGTTTATCGACATTCCGAGACGCTTCAAATCCCCGCTCTGATGGAGTGTGTTATTGACAGATTGTTCCTTCACCTTTTGATTTGCCCTTTCGCTCGAAGGTCTTCCTTTTGATCTCGAACAGGTTATTGCTCTGAATTATCGATGGCAATTTACGCTTGTAATTGACGTAGGATAAGATAAGCTAATTACATATTTACCATTTTACGATAGTCGCTGAAAGGCAAAATACAAACGTATGCTTGATGCTGATGCTATTCGAAATAATTCGGCTGGCTTTTATTTAATAGGCTACCGGCTGCGCAACCGGGCAGTTATTTATATTTTTAGCTCATTGTGAAGGCTGCCAGTCAAGGAGGAAAGTGGAGGATGATTAACGACCTTTCGGATCTAACGCGAAAGGTGAAAGACTGGCAAACTCTAGGAAAATCTATTAGCTAGCTAAATAAAAAAAAAGTGTTTTTTTATTATTTCCAAGTAGTTACTCTTTAGATTACAATTTCATTAGACACTTAGTTAAAACGGTGACAGTGGCAAAAAACTTATAGGTAATTAATAGATAGTAGAAGATAAATTTTTGCAACTCACCAGCAATAATCATCATACAAATGGTAAATATCCGTTCGTTGTCAGTCTCAGCAGCGACGTTTCCGAATCCCACCGAAGTCATGCAGGTCATGGTGAAATACAGCGCAGTAACGTACATGGTCTTCCTCGAAGGTCCGTTTATTAATTCGGGCGTGCTGGAATCGTTGGGCCACACGTACGAGTACGGGTTTTGCGTGATGTTGGCCAGTTTCCACAGCCAGCTGTACTGGACGCCGTTGTCGGCGTCCGATCGCCCGATGGAGTACCAGACGCAGGCCAGCCAATGGGCCACCAGCATGTAGAAGCAGAGCAGGAGTATCAGCATCGCCGCGCCATATTCCAAATAGCGGTCCAGTTTCCTGACCACTCGGCCCAACCGCAGCAATCGGACGACTTTTAGAGCGCTGAATAAACTGCCGATTCCCTGAAAAACAACGCCAAATTACCAGGAAGTAATAGGAAAAGGACTAAATCGTAAAGCTCTTTAATTGTTATGTCCTCCTTGATTTACTTTTATGCCTTCATTCAGCAAATAGCGCTGTAGTCCTGCAAAAATCGAGATTAATCTGTTTCCAATAAATGGATAGTTCCCAATCGAAACTTCACTCATCCCATTAAATTTCTTATTTATATTATTCGTCCGAATAACCTTTAAAATCTCATTTACGTTGGTGGATTCGAGTGTTCGCGAATTTAAGAAGTTTCTTAGACTTTACCGGAAACCATATTAAAGTTTACAACTCCTTTCGAGATGGTTTAGTTTTAGTTCGATGGAAGTTGGGGAATTTTTTCAGCATAATTTTAGATTCTCAAGGTTGATATTTAGTGGAAATTAGAAAAATCGTAATTCGTCAAATCATAAAACAGCGAAACGTACTGCTAAAAGTCGGGTAGTTTTTCTTTATAATTTTCGCAATATTAGTTTTCCGAGAGCGATACGACCTTCACGAAGGTTATGAAATTTATGGGCGATTATTTTCGAACTCATGTAAAACTTTACAAACTCCCTTCTATATGTTTAGCAGCAGACGATCTTTAAGGATGAACAAGTTATCCCAACGGATTTAAGTTTCTGTTTGTAATATTCCATACAGAAATTTCCAGCTAGATAAAATGATCAATATTTAGGAAAATATATGGAAACATTATTTTCACTTATATAACGCATTTTCCGAGTTTTCCATTAATCTAAGATATTTTTTTATTGAGCAATTTTTAATGATTCCTCGTTAAATGATAAAAATTCATTAAAGCTCGCTTCTAATTAACGATGCCATCTATTTCGAAGAAAAGATGGGGTAATATTTTAAGGGAAATTCAAGTCATGTTCTGTTCTGCGCCGCCTTTTTTTCTTCCATGACAAAACAGCGAAAATAACATTACACCAGATTTAATTAGCGAATTGCGAGCTTAAATTCCAGTTTTCCACTTGCAACCGCTAATTTGGTTTCATTACCGCGAACTTCTACGATATTTAGCTGAAGATTTATATGAAATTAAGTTCTTATTTTTCGTTTGCAACTTATTTCTTACAATAATTATTCGAATTACGTAGAGCATGTAACGAGATTTTCTTATTCTACAATTTTTGTTTTGGAAGCAGCTTGGATATCTAGGACATATTCAAAGTAATTATTTTTACACCATTAGTTCAAACACGGTTTTTTTACATTTACTTTTGAAAATGAATTTCTCCGGTACCCTTTTCGTGCTGGATAGCTTCTATTAATCTTTAATATTAATGCAATCGTAATTCGTTTTCGTATAATGAAAATTCTGAGATTTGTAAAGCATGGCATTCTGGCCTTTTCTGTTCTCGTTTAAAATTTACAAATTGGATTTTATCAGCACTTCTCGTCGACACCACACTCTTTGCTTAGCCGATAGCATCGTTATTTCTGATGAATTATTACTATTATTTCTATTTTAACCCTCATACATGCTAACTAAGGTGATGTAAGTTTTATGTTTGTTATATTCCAGTTTATGTTTAATAGATAATTTTATCGGCTCAAAAATAATTTCATTAGCAGTTAAAAATGAGATCGGTTGTTCATAAATTTGACATCAACATTAATGGGTTATAAAAGAGGCTTTATGGAGAAATTTTGATAATGGGTATCTACGTAATTAATTTGCAAATTAGTTTTAAACAAAAAAGATAGACATTAAACCGTGCATGTATACTCTAATTGATTGGTTATTGGGCGAATGCGATTATATAAATTTCGATTAAAATAAATTAATTAGAATACTAATGATACTGCTAAAATTTAGGTAGGTATTTTATAATACCTTTTGCAAATCTCCGACTCAACTGACCTTATCTCAAAAATTTATTGCAATTCCTATATTTAGTAAATCCATACGAAAACTACTATTATCTACGTAGTTATTGTCCAGTGTACCTATGTAAAGTTCACGAATAATCCTTTTAACTGGTTTCCCAAACACATATTCCGTGTTTGGAAATTAATCAGTGGACAATCTGAAATCTCAATAGACTCGCTTAAACCCTGCATATACACAGTCCTGCTCCACCGCTATAAATCATGTTTGACCTGAATAAAAAATGAACCAGTCGACAACAATTCCTATCAATTTAACGTTTCCAATGCAATATATGAAATGTTTTACTCACGTCTTCGTCGTGGTCGAAGGCGTTAAACACGTCGTAGGGCAAGCAACTCAGCAAATCTATGATAAACCAGCTCTTGAGGTAATTCATCCTGATGACCTTCGGATCGGAGACGACCTCGCCCCCAGGACCGACGAACGTCGTGTGAAAATTTAATACTATGTCGATAAAGAATATCACATCAACAATTGAGTCCACAACCAGAAGAGAAACATCTTCCGACGTTTTGTTTTTAAAGGCTACGTTATAAGGAACCATGATGGCCGTATAAAAAGTTAAACAAAGGATGATCCAATCCCAAATGGCTTTGAACGCGCAATAGTGGAGGAGAATATGCGGTGGAGTCTTGGGGGCTTCCTGGCGATACTGGGGCATTATATCGGCACTTAGGCTCATCATCTGCAATGAAAACGTTTCTTAATGAACGTCCTAAAATAATCGCGATGCAATTACTTGTGCCAAATGCGATTGCTTGGTGGCATCTTTGAGATTCGGCAGATGCGATGAGAATTGAGATACTAGAACTGATCGACTTCTCGTTACTGATCTCGCTAGCTTCGCGAATTTTGATAAACCTGCGAAAATTAACTCGTGAAAATTATTTGTAGAATCTAATAAATAAAGTAAGTAATTACCTCCTTTCGTATCGTCCGTTTCTATAGGTTGTTTCAACGCTGTAATATCTCGAAACGTTAGCAAAAACAACACAACCAAGTCCCTTTCGTTCTTTATCGGCGATATTTGAAGGAGCAGCCATAACGGTGTTTCTACAAAACAAATTCGAAAATGATAAAATCAACAACAACGCCGTATTGAGCTGTTGTCAATATAAAATATCTGGAAAGTAATCTAAAAAAAGGTGCTGTTTAACTACAGTAAGGTATTCATAATGCTAATAGGACTATCTAATTAGTAAGTTAATATTAGCGGAGTTCCGTGCTCGGCTTTATAATTTAAGCTCTAAGTGGAGGAATCTACGTACTTAATATAGAGCGACTAAAAGCTGTTTTGTATTCGCACCGTGCCGAATAAAATCTTGGTGAATATTATTGATTTACGCCTAAATTTCCACCCTTGCTAAAGTTTCTCCCTTTTTTATCGACTTATTTCTGTACAAAAGTATTTGTGCAAGTGAATAAAAACCTTGTAATTACGTACCTACCCACTAAAAATATCTACTTGTTAGTTTTAATGAACAGGTTAAAAGTTGTGCGGTGAAGCTTTCTACTCGAGATCAAGTGCACTTTAACTAACGAAGGAGCTTTTTCCAATATCAAGGATCATCCACAAACACTACACATTTTACATTTTCTAATATACTCATTATTAATTGGCAACAGTCTCTACACAATAACCCTATCTAAAATGTTTCTGTTATCTGATACAATCCGGTCAATTTGGATTTAATGACATATGTTTACATTCTAGTGAATTTCTATTTTCACTAGTTTCCCCGCATTACATCATTCTCGTCGTTGACTCCTCTCACATTGTAATAATATTTTCACGATATAGGTCATTTTTATGCTACAAGTTCGGAGTACGCGAACATTTTATATCACTCGAAGCGATAAATTTTATTTTATGCTACTCTACGACAGGAATCTTCTAGTGCTAGTGTATCGATCATACTTTCCGAAGTATTTCATCTTTTGTCCGAGGAAACGATCGCCAAGAAAATATTATACTTTCCGAAATTAATAATGTAAGTGCTTAATTCCTCTTGTTGCGGTGAAGTATAAAATGTATCTCGGTAGAAAAGTAATTTACACAATTGTAAGTAGTAGAGAGTATGTATAATGGAAAGAAATTCACCAAAACCATTTTGTTTCGTTTAATGTACTAGCACAAAATTGCAACCAATATAGTCTTGAAATATCAAGCTTTCAGAAACACTCCTTTATACAAATATCCGTTCTTTCCCGTGGCGCTCAGAATAAACAGAACCCTGAAATTGCACCAGGACTATCTCAAAAATAAACTGTTCAGGCGCCGTTTATAGAAGAACAGTAGAACAATCTAATCAACCCGACTCTATGCTTGTTGTCTCCTCGAATATTATTTACTTTATGTTCGTAGGTAAATAATTTTTCGTGAATATATTTCGCAATTATAAATGGTTTTTCCTTGGACTGGAGAGTGTGCGTGAAGCACGCCAAGCGCATTACGGCTTATTTTCCATTCGAGATTAATGAGAACTGATGTACCGGTTTAGCGATTTATTATTTTATAAACGAAACGGCAATTAAATATTTAAGGAATCGGTTCGTTATGTTTCGCATGGAACCACATACCACTGCTATTCAGGAATTGTGCGTGCTTCCTTAATTAATTATTTACTGTATAGCAATCGATGTCAATTAGAAGAGAATTAGAACTTGCTAACAAAGTGATATATATTTTTGAAAGTTATGTTCTCTTCCGAAATTCGAAGGACAAAAACACCCATCAGAATAAATTTTATGCCGGAAATGCGGAACAGGGAGTTGTATATATTTTAAACATATTCTGCTGTATTTCTCGTCGGTGACAAACAATAAATAACCAGAAAGCATACGAAACTAGATTCGACGAAGGGAAATGGTAATATTTTCATGCAAACATTGATAACAATCATTTATGTATGAATAATGTGTTATTGTACTTGCAAACAAAGTGATTTAACCAACAGGTGGTAATAGAATCTAAACTATAGTTAGCAATTTTTAAATTGTATAATTTCAATTTTTATTATTTGATTCAAGCGCGAAGGTTTCGAATTGAATTTAATTTGCAATATAACTTTCTACGTACGTCGTAAATACGTTAACGGAAACTTCCTTTATAGAAGCAAAATATAACCAGTACCGAGGTTTCTCCTCGATTAAACGAAAAGTAATTATCAACTTAATATGTATCAAAAATATTCCAATTAAGTTCGATAAGATTCGTTGACAAGTTCATGCAAGTTTAATACAGGCAGTAACACGTTGTGCCCGTAATTGACTAATAAAACGGCAAATAACTGACGTCGATGTCAATTAGCGATTCCATTATTGCGCGGTTTTTGTTCGAAAATTTACTCAAATTAATCGATCGCCTAAATTTAATCGCGAATTTAAGCTCAGAATGGCGTATATCAGAAGGCAAAAAAATTAAACGTATACTAAAGAGGAATTTCTAATAGAAAAAAATATATTGTATCTATGAAAAAAACCTTCAGAAAAGCTCGAATTAAAACAGAAACGTAACGGAATATTCGTCCGGAAAATTTTTAATGAATTTCATTTCGTCGCTTTTCCTACTTTCCACTCGGAAAATATCAGACGAGCGAAGGATACTGAACTCATCCGGTGTTCCGGGCAGCGAAATCGACGAAAAATTCAATTAATACCCGTAATTTCCTGTCAACCGGTCTCCGAGCATGTCGCGTCGAAGCGGGAGAAATAAAGTTGAATCGTCATAAAACATGTACTCTCTAATTTTCCCGATATGTTGGACGGAATTGGAAATGAAAATTCTGTACCTACTGCTGAATTATTATATTTTCAGGCGACCCTTTTCGATAAATTTAATTATAGAGGGATTGTTAAAATAAAAAAAAAACGGTGTTTTCATTTAACCAATTAAAATGGACCAATTGAAAATGTTCAGTCAATGGAATGTTAAATAGGAGACGAAAAAAAGTAATATTTCATTATCCTTAGGAAATACTACCTGATGAATATACAGTGCATTTCTTTAATGTCCCCCCCCCCCTTTTATTTTTTGAACGGGTCAACTTAGAAAATTGAAATTTGGGATAATGAAACTAATGCATGATTACTATATTTTGGAGTAAAATTGACAGACGAAAATTTCAAGATGGCGACTGGGCGCCATCTTGGAAAATAAATTTAAATGGAAAGGGGGGTCTTGTGATACATCATTTTGAAGCTCCTGACAAATACTCTACAACCCTGGAATATAAAGTCAATATCTGCACCTGCTACAAAATGGCGGACATTTAATAATTACCTGAATAAATCGACGTTTAACGTCATAATTTGAGGAAATAAGCTGAGTTCTGTTCAAAAAAAGCTCGAATAGGTTGCCTTGAACTTCTTGATACAAGAACAGCCTATCCGAACATTTTCGAACATAGTAACGTCGATATTTTTACAAATATCTGTAATTATTTCTCGTATATCCAATATTGAAGCAGGTTTAGTTTCGTACACATTTTGCTTCAAATAGCCCCATAAAAAAAAGTCTAAAGGTGTCAAATCTGGTCAAATTCTGGTCAATTCCATTCCGTAGGACCTCGACGACCAATCCAACGATCCAACGACCAGGGAAAATAGCATCAAAATAGTTCATTACTTGTCTGGAGTAATGTGGTGGTGCTCCATCTTCCAATGGACGAGAATTGGCCATTTTAGAGTTAGTTCACGTGCTACCTAACTGCAATGAGAACTAAACAACCGAAAACTAAATGAAAATACTTTGAACACTAGGAAAATCGAAAACTAAAGAGAATATTTTGAAAACTAGGAAAACCAAAAACTAAATGAGCATATTTTGACTAAACAATTAATGTTCGTTGTCGTACTTAAATTTTTTGGAATTTTTTTAACCAAAAATAACCTGTCAAACCTTATCGGTTTGCTGGGATTGCTGTTTGCCATAGAAAAACAAATATTTCTAGAAAAATTGATATTATTTTGTTTGTATTCAGGTAATTATTCAATGTTCCGCCATTTTGTAGCAGGTGCAGATATTGACTTTATATTTCAGGGTTGTAGAGTATTTGTCAGGAGCTTCAAAATGATGTATCACAAGACACCCCTTTCTATTTAAATTTATTTTCCAAGATGGCGCCCAGTCGCCATCTTGAAATTTTCATCTGTCAATTTTACTCCAAAATATAGTAATCATGCATTAGTTTCATTATCCCAAATTTCAATTTTCTAAGTTGACCCGTTCAAAAAATAAAAGGGGGGGGGGGCATTAAAGAAATGTACTGTATAGAAGAAATAATTTTATTGGAAAGGTAAAATTATGAAAGTCATTGAAAGGTTAAGTCATAAATAAATTGGAAGTCAATTCAACTAATTTATTGACCGACTAATCATGTAAGTAATTGAGGGAATAATACACTTTTTTATGGAAGGAAACATTTTATATCTCTTCCATCAATACTTTTTGTATTTCTCTATAATCACTCGAAAGTCAATAATTTTGAATTTGACATTCTTTATTTCTCTTTGAGAGTTTTCTTCGATAACTTTTTATGGGATATGCTCTTAAATATTTGAAAAAAATATGAGAATTCCATTGGGGTAGATACAACCTTTTCTATTATTTAGGTCAATTATATTATAAAACATGTGCCATTGCATAGAATTCGTTTAAATTTTAACCGTTTCCCTTTGTTTTGCGTTCGGAATATTATTAAATTATGGAAATATTATTGAATGTTGCAGCTTTGTACACGTATAGACAATTAACAAAACTCTATGAAAATTATGAATTCTGTGCATTCGTATGCAGCGAATTATATGCACGTATCAACTAGAATTTGTGATAACAAGACCTTAGAGGAATGGAATATTGAGAGTGATCCAATTACCTCAATTAACGTATAAATAGCAGAATAGAATGTTTGAAACATTCTGCAAATGTGTAATATGAAACATTAGTTGCGCTGTAGTAAATTTTATAGGCGGGTATATACATAAACTTTTGAAAACCTTAAAAATTTCCATTTAGTTTCTCATTTTCCGGACGATTTGGCTTGCCATCTACATAAAAGCTACTATTAAATAATTCATAAGGGCAAAAGTAATTCGAAGAGGTTCCCTTGGAGTAGACCGAAAAAATATATACGTGGATTTTTCCAATATGTATGCCTACATCAATTTCGACAAAAAATTTACCTACATAACTTTGATGGATGTAGATGAATTATTTAGTAATTTGTGATAGTTATTACCTAACCTACATACGATATAATTTTAGATAAATCGGCATTGATTAGACATAATTGTTTTATTTTATATACAATAATTTGTATGTATAGGTATCTGTGAATTTTGTATATTAATTTGTATTGTATACATTTCGTTCACCAACTTCAAGCAAAGTACTTTAATGCATTTGCATTCCTATGAAGGCTCGAATTGAAAGAATGGTTTATAAACAATGAAAATATGCATCGAGCATTATGTTCTCAAAAACAGTAATAGATATGTATATACAGAACATTTCAAACTACATTAACTAATTTAAACTAGTCGGTAGACAAAATTTGATAAAGTGTTTCGAATTCATTCTCTTTATTTCAGACAATATTTCTTCTTATCTTTACAAATGATTGTTATTTAAAGTTTAAACTCGCTGAACTTAATATTTTTTTATTATTTGAATTAATTAGCCTCTCTTTATATTTAATACTTTTACAATATTAATGACTTTAATTAATAAATAATTTTATTCCTATTAAAATAAAACAAATATGTTAAATATCGAAAATAACGAGAACGAACATTTTTTGAACAATTTATGAATAAATGAGTTATCTTTAAATCCAAGCAAACAGTAGTAGTTGGAAATCTAGAGAAGAGGAAGTCGAAAAAATTCTATTCTACCAAGCATAGTTAAAATTTAAAAGAGTAAAAAATAGCATATTTTTAATCGCTTTAACGTCTTTAACCTGGCAAGTACATACCTTCGGGGGTACCTGTAGACAAATAAAACTTTTATTTAATATTTGACAAGGTACGAGTTAAGTAGTTTGAAATATAGTTAATATTTGATTCAAATACTGACCCAGTTTTAGTGTTTGTCATTAGGGTATAATCGATTGGTAGAAATAGATTTTATAACGATTGTATGCGGTTATAAAACCAACATTGCTTATTTTGACCTCGTTTTCTACTAATTGTATAACCGAAATCCTTCTTATTCGTATTTTAATTACGTGTAATTATAACAGACAATTAATAAAACGCTTGTAGAATTCATTTTAATTCCATAAATAACATACCAAACAGTTTAAAATCTAATAAAGTATAAGTAGTATCTAAAGCAGAGTGCATTCATAAAACAAATTTACTACTCAAATGAAAAATAACTTCAAGACCATATCAAAAATAAATAGGCTGCGTTTCCAGTCAATCATAACACCAAAAATCAATGTTCTTGCGATTTCTATAGTTTGCTTTCCGGCCTTTTCATAAACTTAAAAGAAGCGATCGTTTGCAGCCCATAGAACCAAAGCTACGTACCTTTGTTTTCTAAAAAAACATGCGCGTTGCGGATCAGGGGCAAAGGAAAAAAGAGAAAAGTATTATTTACAAACACGTAAACCAGAAGCAGGCCTATTCCCAAAGCATCCTAATTCCTGCTAGTCATAAATTTATCAGGCTCCATTGATTAGTCCTCGAGATTCAATGAGAATAAAATTGCTTGATAGTGAAAGTAAATACTCTTGCATAATATTGAAATTTAACTATTGATTAATAATAAAGCTTGTAGGAGTAGGCCTTTGTTTTTTTTGAAAGCTCCACAAAAAAAAGCAATCCAATTAGTACTTAGACTTAATCAAGATGAATTTTTTTTCAGTATATGTTCGTCTGGGAGAATCTAGTTATGCCTAAACATGCCCCGCAGCTTTTCCGGGAAACATGTCTTCGCCGGCTTAAGGGTTGAACGAACTCGAAGAGGCTGCGAATGTCGCAGGAAGTCGAACATCAAATATTGAAAAAGCGAGATATCGAATTGAATTCTTATATAGTGTTATTGACATCTAAATTACGTTTTTTTCACATTTCTGCCCTCCTGGGATGAATGAAAACTTACGATGTATGCGGAAGAAGCAGCGGCAATTTTTCGTTAAAGACAAAAAAAAAATCTCCCCAACGGTTCTGTCGCCGAGGGATATGATAAAGTTCGTTAACCAGACCTAGATAATATTTCAGTTTGTGGAAAATGTGTTCCCTTGGTATGCTTGAATAATAACAGGAGATAATAGCTAGTAATGCCCTTGCAATTGATCAATATTAAAATACAACCTTTCTTGGAATTATAATGCAGTTATTCAAAAGTAGGTGACGTCGTCCTTGACCTAAAACTAATATATTGATGTCTTTATGAACTACTGTTTTGTTTTCTAATCTTGCATTTTCCCTTGGATGAAAGGACGTTTGTGCATTAAAACTTTTATTACCGATAAAAATGAAATATTAGATAGAAATTACGCTCCTTCTAGTGATTGTTTTTACCGGCATTAATACGCCCGGCATTTAGTCGTTGCATTTTCCTACCGTTCGGTTTTATGTAGCGAATCTCCGACGTTTTTACATATTTATTTCGTTTTCGTACCATCCGGCGAAAAAATTCGAAAGGATTTTACGGCTCTTAAATTTACGTTCGAATAAAAATGAAAATCCGTACTTGTTTGTGAAAACCAGCAGATCGAGATGGCACATTAGAAAATTTATTAACAATAAAACCCTAAAGTATATAAAAGTATCTATGTATAAGTATAAAAATTAATAGGTTTCTAGAAAGACAAGTGTTCGGAATATTTTATTAACAACTTGTACAAGTGTGTGAATTTTACTGTGTAATGGGATTTTAGTTCGTGAAAGTATCGATTAACTGGTTTAGAAAAGAACATTTATGAGTGCTACAATAAAGAAATGTCTACCATGCACACAATTGAACGCATAAAAATTGATATGTATGTATAAGTTTTAAGTATTTAGATCTAAAATAGTAGTTGTATATCTAGTAAATTCATTTTTTTGCCAGAATAAATTAGAACCAAATTTGTAATCCATATTTTTTGCTAATTATCGAACATTTTACAGAGTTTAACACGTGTTGGTGAAGTTTGCAAACTAACTTACAATATACAACAACTTGTGACCGGAGTTTGAACTGAAAATGTTTATTCCTAGTCGACAATACTGACTTACTTCAAAACAAACCAAAAGAATAAAGCTAATAATAAAATTCCCGCATCAACAACCTTTTATTCCGAACCAACGCTCCAAACTTGCTCTCCAACGAACAAACGGGAGTAACGCAATTTGTTCTCACGTTTGATGTTCGCAATACGTTCGGGACCTAAACGAATGGACAAAGTTAATTCGTCTTCAACCCACGTATATCGCCGTAAATGCGACTAAAATTCACTCATATTCGCCGGCCGACCACTTCGGATTCATCAATCAAACGAACTTTACGAAGATCATCCTCTCCGGTCTCTGTGTTTTATTTCTATGATTAATAGTTCGCATTTGTCAAAGCTTTAGTTAATTACGTGGCGATATTAAGTAATTACACGCTAGGGGATTCTGTATAACCCAAACAGATAGTGAGCCAAAGTAACTACTATTTTAGATTTCATAAGAATCCTATATTGTATAGATATATAAGAAAAATTAAAAGTAAACCTACGATTAATCGCAGGATAGTCACTTACTATTTTTCTTGTACAAAAGAATTTCGAACTGATCGTGTAGCTGGTGCTCCAGAACGTGATCCACTCGACTGATTGTCTCCTTGTCGGTCAGTTCGCCGAACATGAAGGCACATCTGCAGGACTTCTGCATCACCTCCGCCCTGTTGTAGCCGGATATCTTGCAGAACGATTCGTTGCAATAGACTATCGGATAATCCACTATTTGTGCGTTCGCCAATAAAAAACTGCTATCGGCTGAAACAAACAAACCTAATTACGTGGCGAATGTAAGGTGCCCGCTCCTCTATTATTAAAGCAAATAACCACAGGATGATGGTAAACGAACGAAAACTGGAAAAAGTTTCGTATACGTGACTCTGACGCATTAATTCGAATTTTCTCCATACGGAGTCCGGTCCAATTAACCCGGCATTAGTGACCTTACGTGTGCTGTGCAAGGTCGCTAGCCGTCGGCGAAGATCCTTATCGCGAGGTTACTTCCTTCTGATGCGTTATCAATCCCTTAAAGAAGCGAGAGATTTATCGTTGTGTCGGTTGGGAGTTTAAATTGGCGTGTGAAGTTCAATGGTGTGTTCGGCAATTTCGATTGAGTTCATGGAGTGTCGGAACGTTGAGCGGAATCGAATTTGTTTCTTGATATTTATTTGTTGTTTAATGCTTAAAGTTTCTAATTAAATAGAATTGCCTGCTTAGTGTGGAATAGGGTTGTTTGAGAGGTTAATCTCATTGTATTAAAAAACCTCTTATAGACCTGAAAAATATCTGAAAGCTTCAAAAACATCCATTGTATTTCCGTGGATTAAACTAGTTTTTTTTTAATAACACAGGAAGTCTTATATGCCATACATAGCATTACTATGTTACTAGAGTGATTTTTAAAGATTTATATTTTTACAATAATTATATTAACATTCGTAAAACGTGAGCGATAATGCGTTTCTTTCGTGAGAGGCTTTCAAGTCACGCAGTTTTGGCCGCAAAAAGCTCTTGTCCAAGGACGTCTCATTTACGCCTAGCTCAAAAAAATCGCTGTAGAATAAAGTATAGGGTAGTAGAGCAAATGAAACATTACAAATTATTTGTCGGTGTAGGTTTTATTACAGGCTGGTAACAGAAATATTGGTTGAATTTCAAGGTCGGGTGTAAACGTGATAAACTGCATTGAAATATTGAGTATAGGACGTTTTAGCTTTGTTATTTTAATACCTCTAAAGAATATATAATATGGTATAATCCCCGATTGAATATGTTTACTGCGCGAAATGGGGCGATTTTGTCACTGTTTATTTTTAATTTTTGGAACGATTTCGTGTTTGAAATTCGCCTTAATAAAACAACACAAATAGAAAATTGAACAACAAAACCTTTGGTCGATACACCGCCAGTTTTAAATTTGTTATTTTCGTAAAAATGCCGATCTATAAATAAAACTGGAAATGCCATGAAAATATGCATTGCAACAGAATGCATTTTTCCAAGATTTTCTTGCTCAGCTTTATTCAGTTTTAGTTGATAGTGACAAATTAGAATTTCAACAAAACCTTCTCGAGCCAGCAGGAATCAGAGAATAAAGGAACACGATCGCTGAAACCAAAAAACGTGGCGATTTCAATGAAACTGACAGGAAAACATCCCAAATTCCATCAACAAACGGCCACCGTATCGATTAGTCCTACTTGTGGATAGGAAAACCCGGTTTTTCTAACTTATAGTACGGGCGTTAAAGAGCAAAATCGTTCGTGCTGATACATAGTTTAAAATTTAACATTAGCATATTTTTGTAAACATTTTTTGACCACATTATAAATAAGTATTCACCATATTGTTTGAAAGATAACATCAAAATCGACCAATCTTATTTTATACATTTTCATCATCACCGTTACTATTTCAATGGAAATCAACTGACGATTGTCCTAGTTTCCATAATTTTCATTATTCAAAAACATCCAATTCCATTGACGCGGACCGGCCAGCGCTTGCTTGCACTTTATCGACACAAATACAGCAGGTTGTAGCTTGCTTACGCCATGAAATGAGGTGTATTTATAAACTTCTCGTGCTATTTTAAGAACGGTGAACGACCGGCTTCGGTTCGCATTGCGAACAAGGACGAAATCGATGTTAGCTCCTAATAAGGATGAGTCTTTACGGTGCATTTCAGGATAATTCCGGTTCGCTTGAGATATTGCGACAGAGTGCTTAAAATTTATTTTTACTATTTTAGGTATAGTCGAGTGGTGGAGATAAGTTACTAACGACAAACGCGAAATTTGTCATCTCCGGTGAATCGATGGGGAAACGAGCAAACTTCCCGAGTTGGGAATTTCCATGGACCGTCAATTTCCTTCGAATTTCCCCTACGGCCGTGGAAATATAGGCGTTGACATGTGGATCTCTCGATCGCTTCTTCCTTAAATCGACTCGGGTCATTCACTCCGAGTCCTGCTGAGATCCTTCAAACAAATTAAATTCGATAGTTCCTTTCTCCACCGACGATTCGAAATTATGGCGGACGTTTTTGCGAGGAGATATCCACCAAAATTTATAATCCGCCCAAATTCAAGTTATTCCGGTAATGGTGCATTCGAGGTGGCAACAAAAAGCTGACGTAGTTGCGGGCGTTTGTGGCCCTTTTAATTACAACGCCGCAATTTAATATTCCATCTGGAACGCGGACATGAATTTGGAAATTTCGACCGAATAACGAATTCCATCAGCTTCTAACTGCCGCCCTCTAACCTTTCCTACGTCGACGACAATTATGCCGGGGTTTATTTTTAGCGATACGTTCGAAAATGCTGAAAAATGTACCTGCCTATTAAGTGACTCCATTACCTCTGCAATATCGTCAAACATCATGAAAAGCAGAATGATTATTCAGGACGAAAGCTAATTATAATATTGCGACATTAAAATTTGATTTAAAACAGCCAACAAGATTTTTATAACTAAATTTACAGTCGACCAGAATGTTGTTTTTTTTTAATTTAAAGGCAAACGCCCCTATTTCTACGAAAAAGGGTGAATAAAAACAGAGTTTTTGTGCCGACAATCCTCTGTCACGAATAATATATAAAATTAGGGCATTGCTCTAAAAATAGCCCAGACCGCGACCTGTGCATTTGTACGTGGAGTATATAGACATGAAAAATTCCGATCTCTCAAAATGAAAAATGAAATACCCGCTCCCCGGTTGTTGTGTAGATTTCCTCGAGGGCCGTTCGAGATTCCGAATAAAACCGGGCGCATTCATGATTTGTTAATTCGAATTTATGCGATAAAACCGCCGTTAAATTTTCGTTACCTCTTCGAGCTCTTTCTACCGTAAATTTACTTTTCTCCTCGGATGCCGGGCAATATAATAATTTCCTACGACTAATTGATGAGTCACGAAAACGATGAGCGCGAATTCAAGAAAGAAATAAATCAAACTTTGAACAAACAGTTTACGAATTATATAAAAGTTTTCAACAGGAACAAACAGTTTCCGAAGAACTTACGAAGCTAGTAGAAGCAATTTGTAAAATATTACTTTCACTAACACTCGGAAAATCCGTATTACATATTTCTTTCCTCTTCCGCATTCGATAAATCCTCTTATTTGTTGCCATACAATTTATGCAAATCAGCTTTAAAATATATTTAGCGATTGTTAATAGTCTAGTTAATAAATCAAGTCCCATTTGCGCCTAAGCAGTCGTAACTCGCGTTTAGAATCGTCTAGACAAAAGTGTATTTTCCGGCTTTCCATAACCTTGACTAATGCACGTCGATCGAAGAAGCGAGTAATAAAAGGGAAGCCGCCTGGAATTGTTAGCGGTTCGGTACAAAATTCGAAAATAGACAGTTCAATGATAGCACAATAGATTAGAATGGAAATCGAATTAATTTACTGCAGCGTGATTTGTTCCTTCGAGGAAATTAAGCTGGGAGTTTTCGCAAAAATCGATGACGAAAGGAATTGTTTATTGCACGAAGAGAATGGAAATGAGGACGATAATAAAGAGTTACCGAATTCTCAGGACGATTTTCTAACGTTACAGGGATTTGTCGTACAGTGGAAAAGGAGTTATCCTTATGTGGAACGTTTCCTTTTAGCTTTATCTTTAGTGTTACATACTACCGCGAAAATGGAGTATGAAAAGCGGTTTCCATTCATTCGGTGTCTACAAGAATTTACTACTAAAGAATATTTTATCATAGAGATTTTTATCTTTAAAACCAGCGTATTTTATGAGAGGTGTACTCATTAGTTAATAGGTAATTTGAATTTCGGAGACCGATTTTAAAGGGGGCACCGATCCTGCCATGAATCCCGATAGGAATTTTTCGACATGCCTTAGTATTCCATTGAAAACAAGTAGATTATTCAAATTTATTCCATTTCAACCTTACTCCAGGAAGTCGGAATACATGCCCGGCACTGTGATGGATCCATTCGAACTTCGAACTCCTCAATTTTGGACGTGCCGGTAATAAAAATAAAAGGGCAGAACGGCGCGTTTTTGGCCTAATGAATTTTAACCACTGGAATATTTTTTTACTTAATTGGTTTGGGAATAGAAGAAGAATTGAGGGAAAATGTGCTTTTTGTCTTAATAAAATAGTCTTATTATTACAACGAATATTAGGGAAGCTGTTTGGTTTTCCAGTGTGAAGAGAAATCTTCCGAAAAACCGCAATATTCCGCAGAAATGAGAAATCGATTGTTACATTAGCTCCGAATTTAACTTGGCTGACCTTTACTGAATACACAAAGGATAAAACTTAAAAGCTGGCTTTATGGATTAGATATTTCCATAAAATTACGTCAAAAAATGTCCACTCCCCCATACCTTTTATCAACACGAATTAACTTATGAAAATAACTTAAATGAAACAATTATTTGATTAAGCGCCATCAGTATTTCGAAGTGGCTGCTCGGGATGGATCAGATAAAGAGAGTTTTGATAACTCGGCATACTTTAAGTCTTGCCCCGTCCCGGGAGACCGCTTCTTTCGGCGAAAGTTTGGACCGCATCCAAATATCCCGGGTCTGTATCAAAGCCTCCGAAAAACTTCTCGAATCGGTTCAACTTTTTAAATTTTTTCCACGAACTTTAACGAACTATTCGGAATGAATCATCCGCTTGGGTTAACATCCAAAATAGCAGTTCAAACTAGCTTGGATTGGGAGTTACGTGCACCCATATATGGGTATTTTTACCATTAAAAGGGTTAAATGTATGGGGAAATAAGTTAATCGGAGATATATTGAGGGCTAAATGTTGAAAAAAACGGTTAATTCTGAAATCCGGTGGCATTTCGGAAGAGTAGGCAATAAAAGATGATTGAACGTGCCTGCGGGTCGTAAAGGCAACGCAGGAAAAATCCGATATCATAGTTTCATATCTGAGCTAACGTTTCGCTTCGGATAAACTTCAACGGGTAAAAGGGAAAGTAAATATAGGATACATTTTTTTTCGTTACGTAACAATCTTAAAGGACCCTAGGGAGACCCTTTTTGTATCAACAATTTGTTGATTACTTGTTCCTTATAGTATTGTATTATTGTAGATTATAATACCGGATAATACAGTGTTTGTAACAGTGCGTATAGGAAAACCACTAATAGTCATTACAGTCCTCATTTTCTACCAACAACCTTTTAATGCGAGCTAATGTGCTGTTATTGGGGTTACTGATGTTGAGTTTGAATTTACCCGAATTATTTACGAGTCCACCTTCAAAATTTATGTGAACTTTCGTCCAAACATTATATTGATTTATCATTATTACGTAGGTACTTAGTGTATTATTATCCTATCGGAACAAATATTTTATCAAGCCCTTACGTTTTCTTGTTTCACAAGTACAATATTAGTAAATGTCATTCCTTCGCTTTTTCAGTGCTTTTAAATAAATGGTGCGAGCTGCACACATACCCACTAACACCATTTTTTCAATCCTCAAATGGAACGAATCCAATTCGGTTGTTTCCTTTTTTTTCGGTCAGCAAATTTCGAACGAATATTTTTATTTTTCGAGCTGGAATTGTTCGTATATCCCACTCTTTATTTGGAACTTTTCGAATAAAAAAACGATAAAACGACCGAAATTCGGTGCCTATAGTGGCACGCACTTCTGCCTCTATCGTTCGCATGTTACGCGAAAAGATGTAATATCCGTGAATTCAGAACACCGTTAAATTCTCGATTCGTTGGTGTCAAAAAGAACATTTCTATTTTAAATCGAACGTTCTATTTTCAACAGAAAATCGAACAAACATCTGAAATCCCCTATAAAACATGACGAGTATAAATTGTATGAAACCTTTATTGGTCGTGAATTATACCTTACCTATCATTATAACTATTTTTATTTGTTATTATATATCCACAGTACCTAAAGCCTTCTTCCTCCAGTATTTTTCTTTGTGTAAATACGTATGTTTACCTACTGAAATTGTTTGTTTACTTTAGATTATTAGTGCATAATATTCGGTGCAAATATATAAAAGTATAAAGAACTTACGTTGCGAATTAGATCTTCTTATGATATTTTCTAAAAAGGTATTTTGCGGAGCGACAAGCCCCCTTCGTCCCCCCGGCATATCGAATTCTCTACTCTCTTATATCAAAAAACTGAATCGCACTTCATAACAAAAATCAATCGGTATATCAAAATTCCGCGAAAACCTTCGAAAATTCTATCAACTTAACCCGAATCCCTATGACGGCGCTTCCTGTACATTTTCCACGTTGAAAATCCTTACGCGACCCGTGTTTGTGCGTGTACATAATTATCGAATTCGAACGCCCGCCTGATCAACAAGGAAAATTCACATCCCCGAATTTTCCGCGATTTTCATTGTTTCCCCCGTTCGTGGAACGGCTCTTCACGCTCGGAATTGTGTCATCTAACTGACGGGGTGAACGCGAAAAAGGGGCCGGTGGTGGTTGAAAGCCGACTAAGGGAAAATCGAAAGGTGATAGCAGCGCTATCGGAGACGACGCAACGGGATTTTCCCGAACTAAAACCGACGAATCGGATTTTGGAGCAGGACGAAAAGAAATTAGTTAGGGAGCAAACAAAGCACCTATTGTCTCGAACTATTGTCCCATTTAGTATATCTCTACTAACCATCCCGTTCGCTGTGTAAAATTATTTACTTGATTAGGTGTTATTAAACAGTATAGAAAGTTAAAATTACTCATTAAAATCGATATCTAATTGTGTGTAAAACATTTTTTTAAGTCTTTAGACTTTACGATACTTGAAAAGCTCCCGACCCCTTTTCTAAAAGCCATTGCGGTGGTTTAAGGGGTTACAAGGACGCGCATATTTTTGAGTAAATGGTCGAGGATGTGTCTGTGTTTCGGGGGAAGCGCTAGGTCACGGTTGTTTTTTGACCCTCGTCGTTGTTTTATTGGAGTGAACGTTTCCAAAATTTTTTAATATCAGGATTTCCCTAATCAATGCGGGGAAATGTGGGTCGGCAAAGTCAGGAAAAACAATGAAATTTGAATATTTCATTAAATTTATTGACCTAATGAAATTTGTAGAATCGAGTCACAGTCACGATTTTTTTAATAATATTTTAATAGTAAAACGATTTTAGAGAATAAATTATTTTAGACAGTTTTTAGATAAAACTCGAATTAAGTAACGGTACTGTTTTTATAATTAAGTGGCATTCTTTCGAGTGATAATTAAATGATCAAATGCTCAAAATCTCCTCTGTTGACTCCTTGACCGAAGAGGTCTATTTTTAGCTACCCTTAACATTTTGTAGTGTTTCACTTGTAATTAAAGCACGCATGTAGATAATCGCAATTATCGCGAAAGTATCTAATTTTCATTAATTCGCTCTTTAATTTGTACAAAAATATATCATATAATTAATAATAATGTAATACCTATATAAAAACGTAGGTCTCTTGTAATAAATTTGCATAGTGGAAGGTTTCGTAAGTATCCAATTACAGTTGATTTTTATTTTATTAAAAATATGAACAAATATTATTTAGATAAATAATTTCTATTATTTATTTAAATTAAAAAGGACGTTACCAAAAGGCCCTTAAATGTTACCATTTGCGCCACCTATACTAGAATAGTATAATAAACTGAAAGCATAAGCTGTATTCTAGCTTTGTATCCTGTTCATTGATTTTTCACTGTAGATATTTTAGATCCTTTTAGCAAAAGATGGAGCTCACATCAAATGTTGAAAGTGTTCTGTGGTATTAAATCTTGCTCTTTTTTCTTTTTGAATCATACCTGTATGGGTGCAAGAAGGGTTATTTTAAGTTCATAAAGTTAAAATATCGAGAAAGTAGGTACATTTTTAATAAGCACATAATTCTCTGCCAAAATATTGCCAAATCAACCCCTGAATGTTGTTTAGAAGGTCATAATTTTTTAGTAGTTTTCAAGGTTTTGAAAATTCATATAAATAAATATTTACTATTGTTCGTATAAAGTTATTAGGTACATATGCTCCCTACTTTTATATCTACTGTACTGCTTTATTATTGCAAGCAGCAATAAATCGCGTATACATCAAACTGTTTTAACCGCAAATAGCGATTAGTGCATCGGCCTAACTGCGATTTGCTCTAAACAATAAGGCAGGCCGGCTCGAAAACGGAGTGATTAATGAACTATTAAGATCCATAATGAATTTTCCGGCCCCCCGACCGGCCCCTAGGCGTATTGTTGGAGTCAACATCGAGATAAAGGGCTTTATTTGCAAATTGTTTGATTTTTACCGGACCGAGAGCCGTTCTTGTGTGTGCGCGCCTGTTGAAAAAATCTCGAAACCTAATCGGTCAGAAATTAGGGCCCGGGTGGAATAATAACGGTGGAAACCGGGCTGCGACTGCGAATAAACTTTATTGTGGAAACGTGTGGGAAAGTAAAGCTAAGTGTAATTAAATGTTTAGTTAAGCAGAAGTAAATTTAACCCAAGCGTAAAGTGTAATCACTTTTTTTTTGTTTCATAAATTCATTGTTCCTCAACCACAAATTGGTGAGTTCTTTCATATTTTATATTAAACTCTATTTATTTTTATAGTTCTTATTCGGTTTGGAATCTAATACTTTTTATAGTCCGTAAATATTTTTAATTGCAACGCTTTTACCACGAATTGAAATTAACATTTAAAATTTTTCTTTATCTACCTACTTAATAAAGAAACATCCATTATAATTAACGAACAACGTAAAACATTAGATAAATCATTTCAGCGTGTAGAATAAATTAAATTACAAAACAAAAAAAAATTGTATAAATCATTTTAATTATCCCCGAAGAATATTTATACCGAAAATTATTTTCTTTTATATTTCCACTTTACGTACTCGAAATTTCCATTTCCTCGACGTTTTTTCTGGCTTATAAAACAGCAGGCCGCAGAGTTATTGGATTTTTACGGGATTATCGGGAAGACATCTGCCCTTTTAATATTTATTGACCGCATTGTTACGCGTGTTCCAAATTTTACGACACGTCATAAATCAGTCGGAACTCGAAAGATTTCTCGGACATGAAATCAACGTTCTCAAACCTCGACAGAACACGTGAAAATTCATTTAATTAGCGAGATTATTGCGTATATGAACGAAGAAGTTGAATAAAACCAAAATGTTAGCTCCCCTCGTAATTATACATCTCCGAAAACAAAACATCCTACCAATTATATCCCGGTTTTTATACGATTTTTTAGTGTGAATAAAAAGGAAAATATTTAACGTGTATACACGTATGGATCGCGTTCGGTTACATGTGTTTGTTAAGGAGGCAGATTAGTCGCCTCATTACCGCGACACGAACCACCTGGGTCGTCCTGTCCGCCTCTCCGCTTCTTCTGCTCTAATGCCGCATTAATGGTAACGTTAGAACGCGTAAATTAGGATAATTCCCTGACAACGCGCTCACCCGGCCCAACTCGATTTCGCCACTACGACGTTCCCGTACGGGTTCCACAATAAAAATAGGATGAGGTCACGCTTATTGATTTTGCACGTCTAATTGCTGTGTTTGGCAACACCAAATCGTATAGGTAAAGTTTAGGTTTTTCCCTTCGATTATTTGAGCAGATGTTTGGTCGCGACTATGTGAAAATTGCTCATTTTGGCGCACCGGAACTCCCCACCGATTTTAACTGAATTTTAATTGAAAAATATTACCTAGCATATCACACTAATCCCAGGCAGGAATTACCCCAACGACTCTACTTTCAACACTCCGCTCACTGCACTATATGCATTCCACACTCTGCACTCCACTGTCTCGAGTCCATTCTCGGCACTCCACTCTTTACATTCTACTCTCTACAACTCTACATTCTACTCTATACTATCTATATACTCTCTACACTCTCTACTGCACTCTCTACAGCACTTTCTTCTGCACTCTCTACTGCACTCTCTACTGTACTCTCTACTACACTTTCTACTGCACTCTCTACTGCACTCTCTACTGCTCTCTCTACAATCTTTACATTCTCTATACTTTCTATTCTTTCTATACTCTCTATACTCTCTATACTCTCTATACTCTCTATACTCTCTATACTCTCTATACTCTCTATACTCTCTATACTCTCTATACTCTCTATACTCTCTATACTCTCTATACTCTCTATACTCTCTATACTCTCTATACTCTCTATACTCTCTGTACTCTCTATACTCTCTATACTCTCTATACTCTCTATACTCTCTATACTCTCTATACTCTCTATACTCTCTAATACTCTCTATACTCTCTATACTCTCTATACTCTCTATACTCTCTATACTCTCTATACTCTCTATACTCTCTATACTCTCTATACTCTCTATACTCTCTATACTCTCTATACTCTCTATACTCTCTATACTCTCTATACTCTCTATACTCTCTATACTCTCTATACTCTCTATACTCTCTACTCTAATCTACTCTAATCTACTCTGAGATATGAAATGATATTCAAAAAAAAACAACGCCAAGAATTTTCGCTTGTCCTTCACATTCTTCCCATGTACAATTTGTAGTTTTGATAGAAAAACATTAGTTTTCCACTTCACTAAAAATATTATAACGGTACATACATATTTCCAAACATATAAATTATATTAAATCTTTCAGTTACTCTGGTTACTCATCACTTTCAGGTTACCTATATATTTGTGCGGAATCCTGTGGTACTCCAGTTCATTTTGCGCTAATACAGTGGGATTTTAAGCGTGTTTGTGTTGAAATATTCGTTACGATATTAAATCATAGCGATTGTACGAAAAGACGAACGTAATTAAGCACTTTTGAAGAGCCTCTAACAGCGTCGAAATAATTCCGAACGTAACCGGAGTAATACTCGCCGGTCTTTGTGAATTGTATTGTAAAAATAGCCGTCAGCAGTTTGCGAGCCGTCGTTAAACACACGTCGGGGCTTTTTCTTTTCGCTCGATTTTTTTTTTATTTTTCGTTGTAGAGGGTGCAACTGCGTTCCGGGCTGACGGCCGCCCGCCCTTAGCGGACGGTAATTGATTCAATAAGCGAAAAACACGCGTCGATTTTACTCCCGACACCAAACATACCGATATCAGTAAACTGAAAATAAAAATAAATATATTTGTACGTACACAGGATTCGGGAAATGTTTCGAAAACGAAATCTACCCCCTATATACGATTTTATTAGTTGCACAAAATAAATGGAAGCGGGTGCTTTTTAATTAATTTTTTTAATAGAATCAGAAAAACACTTAACTAATTATATTAAAAGGATTAAAAACTATATAGTACATTATATTGTGCACCCTCGTCGCGCCAATAATTCATCATGTGTGTCAGAAAAATTCCGCACGGTCTCACTTTCATTTTCCAAATTGTGCAGGTGCAATGCATTGCAGATAAGAAAGGCGAATTAAAACTCTACGCCTGGAAAAATTGTTAATTACAT